TTTGTCTGACTAGAATATAAGATGTATTAGCGATGCCACAGGCACAAGTCAGGGAATTTTATTAAAAGTACTGGAAAAAATATTAAATTTCTAACATTACTAGAAAAAATCTGTTTCTTTGGTCTTTAAAAAAAATGTTTAAAAAACTTAAAAACTTTGAATTCTTCCCAAATTTATTTTTTCACCTTAAAAATATTAAATATTTATTTACAAAATTATTTAGATTTTTAATAATCTTATTTAAAATTCTGAAAAAATTTACCTTCTGAGAAATTTTAATTCAAATTTTTAAAGATTATTATTTTAAGAATTATCAAATTAATAGCAATTTTGCGAAATTGAATTAAAAATAATTAAATGTGTTAATAACTCTCATTATTTAAAAAAAATCGAATTTTCAAAGAATTTTAATTAAATAAAATTGAAAAATAAAAAAGAAATTAGGTTTTTAAAATATTTCTCTCCTATTTTTTAATGATAGTTTAATTTTTATAAACAAGTAATTAAAAAATTTGAAAATATGTAATTGAAATTTCCCAGAGTTCTATTAAAAATAATTGAATTTTTTTTAATAATTTTAATGAAATTTTTCGTTTTCGGTAGACACTCTTAAAGTTCTGAATTAAATTTTTGCTTCTAAAAATAAACTTTTTTTTCACAATTGAACTCTTCTTGAAATTGATTTTTAAAAGGATCAGGGAGAATGTTAAAAAAAATCAGGGAAACCCGAAATCAAAAAGTACAATATTTGCCATTAATTTTTGTGTCCATTTTTTTCAGAGTAATTCTAGTGACTAAAGATTTTATTAATTTAAGCAGAACAAGTGATTACGAAAATTAATTGACCAAAAACAATTTTATTAGGATATAAAAATGACATTTTAATTTTAATCACCCATATGTTTCACCTTGCTTATATTTTGCCCTTTTTATTACAAAATAATTAAAAAACGGTTTTAACAGAAAAGTATTTTTAGAAAATCATTCGCTTTTTCACCTATTTCAAAGAAAAAAGATTCTGTAATCTCTGACATCATAATATTTTATGAGAAGTGAAAAATATAATTATCTATTGCAAAAATTCAATTATTTTCAAGAGTAATAATAATCTTCGCAAAAATTAAATATTGTTCAAAAGTAATAAAATTCTTCTTAGGGATTCAATTAATTTTACAAATAATAAAACTCATTGCTGAATTTTAATTATTTTTAATATAATTTTAATCGAATTTCTCGAAAAATGTAATTATTCTTAAAATTTTTATTAACATTCGTTGATAGAATTCAATTATTTGAAAATCTGTTGAGAACGATTCTTTATGGGAAATGAATTTTAAGAAACATTCAATTATTCAATAAATAATCTACTTTTATATTTAAATAATTGAATTGTCGTAGAATTTTCTAATTATAATTGATTCAAATATAAATTTCAGTTAAAATTGTAGATAATTGAATTTTGATCTTTGAATGTTTGAATTTTTCATACTTTTAACTAAAAGTTTGTGTAGATTCAATTTTTTTGAAAAAGTTCAATTGAATTTTCTTTTAAGTTATTTGAAGTTTTTATTTTCCAATATTTGATTGAAGAATTTCCGAATAATCGTTGAAATTTCGTAAAATTGAATTGTAAACAAAAGGATTTGAAAATGCTCGTTTTATTCACTTCACAAAATTGACAAAAATTCCATTCCATATTTTTTATTTTTCTAATTTTTATCAAAAATATTTACTTTTTTCTTATCCTGCTAATAATTTGAATTCCTGCAACGAATTTTATTATTCATGAAAGATTTTAAAATATATTTATAAAAAATAATTTAATTCTTGCAAAGAATTTTATAAAATTTTTTAAATTATTCATTTCTTTCGAATAATTTTATGTAAATTCTAATTTAAATAATTGAATTGATGAAAATTTTTATTATTCATGAAAAGATTTGAATTCTTACGAAAATTTTTACAAACCATTTTTTAAATAATTGAATTCTGATTGGAAATTTTATGAAAATAGTAGATATCAGGGTTGCCACGCAACCTGGAAAACCTGGAAATATCAGGGAATTTTATAAACCTTGAAAAAACCTGGAAAATTATTATTTTCTAAAGTTTATTCTTGAAATCTAATTTTACATAAATATTTCAAAATTAATTAAATCTTAAAAAAGTTGCGTTTACAATTTTCATAAGTACAGATGAATTTCAAAAGATTTTAATTTGAAATTTTGTAAAATATCAATTTTGAATGAATTCAATTAGAAATCGTCTTAAAGTAGGTAGATTTTTGAAAAATTTTAATTATTCAAATTCTTCTGAAATTAGTTAAATTTTTTAATATAATTATATTTTTAATTGATAATTAAAAATAATGGATTTATAGAAGAATTTTAATTAAAAACATTAAGAGAAATTGAATTTTGAAGCAATTACAAATGATTGCAGAAATTCAATTATTTTCAAAAGTAGTAAAATTCTTCTTAGAAATTCAATTATTTCCAACAATCTGAATAAACTTCATGGCAAAATTTCAATTATTTTCAAAAACTTTCCTCAATTCAATGATTTTTAATAAATCTACTACTTTAATAAAATTTCCCAAAGGAATTCAATTATTTAAAAAAAATTAAATTAAATTTTACGTTAACATTTCATTATTTTCATAAATAATAAAACTCATCGCAAACTTTCAATTATTTTTAATACAATTTTAATCAAATTCCTCGAAAAATGAAATTATTCTTAAAAATTTTATTAAAATTCATCAAAGGAATTCAATTAATTTAAAAACCTCTTTGTAAAAATTCAATTTTTTTTCAAAATAATTTTAATAAAATTCTTCGCAGAAAATTTTAATAATTTCAAAAATTTGTCAAAATTAAATTATTTTCAATGTCTACTATTTCAATAAAATTTCATAAAAGAATTCAATTATTTAAAAAGACATTTTAATAAAATTCATCTCAAGAATTCAATTATTTTCAAAAGTATAATATAATTTATTCTTCGCAGAAATTTATTTGTGTTCAACAATTTACAAAAATTCTCATCAAAATTTCAATAATCTTTATAAATTTTTCTCCGGAATTAAATTATTTTCAAAAATTTTAATAAAATTCTTGGCAAAATTTCAATTATTTTTAATTAAAATTTTAGTCAAAATTCCAAAATTGAAATTATTCTGAAAAATTTTATTAAAATTTATCAAGAGAATTCAATTATTTAAAAATTTGTTCATAAAATTCTTTAAGAAAATTAAATTTCAAGAAACATTCAATTATTTAATAAAATATTGAATAATGAAAGCAATATAGCGTAAATTTTTAGAAATAATTGAATTTCCAAAAAGTTTCAAATTAAAATCTTTGAAAATTTGAACTTTTCATACTTTTAATTAACAATTCTGTAGAATTTATTTTTTAAACAAGTTTTATTGAATTTTTCTTTAATCCTTCAAGTTTTTATTTTCTAATATATATTTAATTGAAGAATGTCAGAATAATCAAAATTACGTAAGTTACAAAGAATTTTATAATTTTTGAAAAAACTTGAATTCTTGCGGAGAATTTTATCAATTTTGAAAGTAATTGAATTCTTGCGAAGAATTTTGTCAATTTTAAAAATAATTGAATTATTTCGAAAAATTTTATTAAAAATTTTTGAGAATAATTGAATTCCTGCGAATAATTTTATTATCTAGGTATAAAAATAATTAAATTCTTGACAAAATTTTTAAGGAAATTTAGAATTAATTTTTCTCAAAAAGTTTAATAGAATTTTTTTTTAATTATTTGAAGTTTTTAATTTCTAATATATGAAGAATGTCAGAATAATCGAAATTTTAGGTAAAATTGAATTGTAAACAAATGGATTTAAAAATTCTCAAAAGAGAACTTTTTCAAAAATTATTTTAAAAAATTGATTTAAAGAAGAATTTTATTTTAAAATTCTGGAAAACCTGAAAAAGTCAGGGAATTTGAAATGAGCAAAATCGTGGCAACCCGGGATATTGAAAATCATTGAATTGCGAAAATTTTTTAAATATAATATTAAATTTTACAAAGAATTCTTTTAAAAAATTTGAATTTGAATTCATGAAAAATTTTATTATTAGTGAAAGTAATTAAATTATTGTGAAAAATAAATTGCATAAAATTTTGTAAATTTTCGTGATGATGATTATTTTTAATTTAGGTATCAAATAACAATTTTTGCGAAATTCAATTTTCCTCGTACAAGAAAGTTGAATTATTTTTAATTTTGAAAATCTGATGTCAAATTTGAAATTAGTATCAAAATCCCTGATTCCCCTGACTAATTCTACTTTCCCTGACTTTTCCTTGAATTTCCTGACATGTGGCAACCCTGTTAATTACAGTTAAGGTAATTTGTTGAAAGTTAATTAATGAAAAATTGTTGTCTACAGGTATTGGGAAAAGGTAGCTATCCCACATGGTACAAATGGATACATAGCTATTTGTCCTTTCTGCGCGGTACCGCTGGAAGGAAGTCCAGGATACGTGAAGCTCATATTTCAAGATCATGTAGATTAGTGTATTTGCACGAGAGTTGATTGAAAATATGTAATATGTACAGAAGTAATTATTTTTTATTCCGGGTCGAAACGATGAAATTCCGGATTTTAGAGCCTTATTGCTGTAAGTTATTGAAATATTGAATTTTTAAAAAGATTAAGCTGCGTGCAATGAGCGAAGATTGCTTTTTTGGTTTTCTTTGATCGGCACGCGTAGGTAGACCCCATTGAAATGAAACAAAAAAAAATCTAGATCTATTTCATTAAATCATATTGTACAAAAAAAAGAAGCTTTCCCGCAATATCCTTCTAGGGCTTCGAAATTCGTTTACCAAAGACACGACTTGCATATTCGTATACTTCCAGTATAAACTTTTATCAACCTGCATTCCACAGATATCGATTATATTCATTTTTTTTAAATTCATTACAAACATAAGATACATGTTAGTATGAGAAAAATAAAGTGTTTTTGATCTATGTAATTTTGTTTATTAATTTTTTTTATTTCTTTTTATTCTTAAATTAATTATATTATCAAATACTTATAAATCCTAGTATGATTTATTTAAGAAAAAAAAAAAAATTATTCTTAAAAATATCGTGTGGCTTTCGAAGAACTTACGACAATGGGAAGAATGATTGAGGACTTATTTTTCTTGTCTTTTGATTCTCTTGATAAAATTATTTAGTCTAAAATGAATTTTAGTTAATTATTAGTTAGTAGCATAATTCAAGAGTATCACATGGAATCCACTTTGAACTTTCCAAGGCGTCCCATAAATTGTAATCTTGCTCGATCACTTCTCGATTCAATTTGTCAGTGTCGATTGGCGTCGAGTGCTCTGCAATAAATTAGAAAAAATGTATTTAAAAAAAACAATTATACTGAATTTTAACCCTTTGTATCACTTTTTTTTACTTAAAAAAAATATCTTTGATTTTATTGTAATAAATAAAATTAAAAACACAAAATTTTCATATATTATTAAATATAGGGAAAATAGAAAATTGAATGATTAAATTCCTAAAAATTCCTCGAAAATTTTGAATTAATAAAATCAAACTATTTACTAAATAAAAAATAGTCGCAACTTTTTTAAGTGACAAAATTTAACTAATAAACAATTGTTTTACGAAAAAGGAGATTTGTTTTTTAAATTTAACACTGTGAGAGAAAGGGTTAACAAAATAAGTTTTTAAATAAAAAAGAAAACTACAAACCTATTAATTCCAGTTCGTCTTCCTCGGGTTTATGATCGGCCATGTAAGTGCCATAACTTTCCGATGTTGGCTCACTTTCATAATATCCTTGTTGCCAAGCACTGTAGCTGTTCCAATAAGAAGATGTATCATAATAATTATAAGATTCTGAGCCAAGATTCGAGGAATAATCAGCAGATGAATGCGGAGGAGAAGATCTGTCGAGTTCATAAATATGACAGAATTTTATAATAAAATTAAATTAATGTTACGAAGAACTTTACAGCCATACGACAATAGTAAAAATAGAAAAAAAAATTTTTAATTCAGGAGAAAAAAACTAGGTATTCAAAACAAAAAAAATTAATTAAAAAAGGAAAAATTTTAATATTTGGGCCAAGAAAATTTAATTAAATAGTTATTTTAACATAATTTAATTAATGGCAAATATTTAATGAAAATGTTTTAAGGTTGTTTTATTTTCTGCCTAATTCAGGTCTCGAACTGGGTCCGTAAATTTGTTTAAAGTCCGTAAAAGTCAGTTTAAAAAAAAAAAAAGATCTGTAAAGAGTCCGTAATTTGATTGAAAAAGCAAGAAAAGTTGGTAAATTCTACTATATAAATTATAATTTGGAGAATTTAGGAGAAGTTACAAATGATTGCAGAAATTCAATTATTTTCAAAAGTAATAAAATTCTTCTCCGAAATTCAATTATTTTCAAAAATTTTAATAAAATTCTTGACAAAAGTTCAAATATTATCAAAAATTTTCCTCAATTCAATGATTTTCAATATATCTACTATATTTTAATAAATATTTCCAACAAAATTCAATTATTTAAAGAAAAAAAATTCTCTTTAATTCTACGCAAATATTTAATTATTTTCATAAATAAAATTAAACATTTCACAGAAATTTAATTATTTACAAATTTTTTATAAATTTCTTCGCAATAATTCAATTATTTTCATAAATAAAATTAAACATTTCACAGAAATTCAATTATTTACAAATTTTTTCTAAATTTCTTCGCAATAATTCAATTATTTTCCATAAATAATAAAATTTTTTTCATTTATTATCACAAATAATTAAATTCTTTTTAGGAATTTAATTATTTTTTATATAATTTCAACAAATGTATTTCAAAAGAATTCAATTATTTGAAAGGATGTTTATAAAATTCTGCGCTAGAATTTAATTCTTTTAAAAAAAATTAATAAAGTTGTTCGTAAAAAAGAATTTAATTATTTTTAAAAAATTTTTGATAGAATTCTACTTAAACATGTAATTATTTTCTTAAATAATAAAATTCTTTTTTTGAATTTTCAATTATTTTAAAAAAAAAATCAAATTTTCACAGGAATTTAATTATTTTCAAACACAATTTTCATAAAATTTTTCGAAAAAAATCAATTATTTAAAATGATTTTTATAAAATTCTTCGCTAGAATGTAATTATTTAAAAAAAATTAATAAAGTTCTTCGTAAGAATTAAATTATTTTTGAAAATTTTAATAAAATGACAAGAATTTAATTATATTTTTAAAAATAATAATTAAACTCTTGGTATCAATTCAATTATTTTAAAAAATTTTGATAAAATTCTCGGCAAAATTTAAATTATTATAAAAAATTTTTCTTAATTCAATGATTTTCAATATCTACTATTTTGATAAAGTTTTCCAACAGAATTCAATTACATATTTGAAAAAAAATTTGTTAAAATTCTACGCAAACATTTAATTATTTTCATAAATAATAAAAATTTCACGAAGGAATTCAATTATTTACAAATTTTTATATATTTCTTCGTAATAATTTCATTATTTTCATAAATAATAAATTTTTTTACAAAGATTTAATTTAATTCGTAAATAATACAACTCATTGCAGAATTTCGATTATTTTTAATACAATTTTAATCGAATTCCTCGAAAAATAGAATTATTCTTTAAAATTATATTAAAATTCGTCAAAAGAATTCAATTATTTAAAAATTTGTTGACAAAATTCTTTATGAGAATTCAATTTTTAGAAACATTCAATTATACAATAAGTTATTAATTTTTGTATTTAAATAATTGAATTCTCGTAGAATTTTCTAATAAAAAATTATTTAAAAATTAATTTTAGTTCAAATTTTAGATAATAATTGAATATTAAAAGCATTATAGCATGAATGTTTAAAAATAATTGAATTCTGAAAAGGTTTCAATTAAAAAAAAAAAAAAAAAAATTAAATTTTCAAAAATTTTTCTTTGAAAATTTAATTTTTGTATACTTTTACAGGGTGTCTACTATTTTCGTTAAACAAAATTCCTGGTTTTCTTCCGGCTTTGTCCTAATTTTTCCCGGTTTATTTTTCTCATTAAATTTAAATTTAATTTCATTTCGAACATAAATAAATCTACAAATTGTTTCCAAAATTTTTATTACAGTGTTTTTATGAATAATTAAATTCTTTTGACGAGATTCTTTAAACTTTTTTAAATAATGTTTTTTTTTAATAATTTTAATTATAAATTTGGAAAATAATTGAATTAAACAAAGAATTTTTTCAACTTTTTAAAATAATCTTGTCTGTTCATAATTATAATTGAAAATTTCATTAATTCAATTTTATTAAAATGTATTGATACTAATTGAATTTTTGCAAATAATTTTACTGTATTTATAAAAATAATTGAATCCATCCAAAGAATGTTATTATTTATGAAAATAATTCAAATTTTTGAAAATAATTCAATCGTGGAAAACAATTTAATTATTTATAAAAATAATTGAAATTTTAAGGAGAATTTAAAAAATTTGTAAACATAATTAAATTTCTGAGAAGAATTTTATTACTTTTGGAAACAATTAAATTGTTTTTTTCAGAATTTTATGGAAATTTATGGAAATAATTGAATTCTTCAGAAGAATTTTTTACAGTTTTTAGAAATAATTGAATTCTTTCGACGAATTTTAATAAAATTTTTAAGAATAATTACATTTTTCGAGGAATTTGATGAAAATTGTATTAAAAATAATTGAAATTCTAAAATGAGTTTTATTATTTATCAAAATAATTGAATTTAGGAAATTTTTAAAAATAAAATTATAATTACGGTGACTAACTTTCCTTGATTATTTTCGAAAAATATAAATAAAATATTTTAAAAGCATTTAGTTATCTTTTTAGAATGTAAAGAAATTTCAATTATTTCAAAAATTTTCAATTATTTGTTTATAAAAATTCAATTATCTTGGAACAATAGAATAGAAAAATTTTAAAAATCTTATTTTTCAGAATTTTCAAAAAAACTTTGCAAAAATTCAATTTCATTAAAAAATGTTGAGTGTTTATCTTTTTTTAAACTAACTAATAAAAATTTTAATTATTAATCTTCGCACTAAGAAACATGAATACATTAGAATGTGACTCATTATAAAATTCAATTATTTATCAATTATTAAATTAAAATACTTTGAAAATTCAATTTGTTAACAAGTTTTTAATGAAATTCTTTAACAAATTTAATTATTTTCAGTTAAATTTCACAAAATTTCTAATTCGATAATTTTTTTAAATTTATTTACATACTAGATTTGAATCAGTTACTGATTTTTTACTACCAAATTAATTATTTTTAACTAATTTAAATTTGGAGAACAGTATAAATATCTATAAAAATTGAAATAAAAAGCGATTTTTTTCTGCTTATTCCCGGGTAAATTAAATTCCCGAATATTTAATAAATGAAATTTTGTAAAATTGAATGACAAACAAATTCCACTACACTGTTCGTCTTTGCTCGTTATCGTACTCGTTCTTTGTTCGCAAGTTCTATCTTTTGTATAAAAAGTATGTATAAATAAATACAACTATAATAATAACATTATTATTCCACTTTATTAAATTCTGGCTTCAACAATATTTCAACAGTAATTGTTCCATCATTTTTAATTTTTGATCCGTAAGGTTTTTTTTCACTGGTTCGAGTCCTGGCCTAATTTTGTATATTTAAAAATAACGAATGAATAAGGGAATTTTTTGAGGAATAGATATTAATACTTTATCAAGCAGGAAATAATTGATAATTAATTTCTACATACCCCGATTTACTCCAAGGCCTTGGTACAGCGTTGCAAATTTTTAAAGATTTCGTTCCAAGTCCTCGATAGCCATTCATTGCAACCAAACAATTTTTCTGCTCGTCTTCATTAGCAAAACGAACGAAACCATAACCCTTACTGAAGCCATTATTGTCTAAAATAACTTTTGCCGTTCGAATCGAATTGTATTTGGAAGCAAAAGTCCTGTACAGAGAATAATCGTCTACGTCGGTTGAAAGGTCACCAACCCAAACGCTGAATTCTCTGTCAGATGCTGGTTTTCCTGTTGTACTTGCGTGGTTCAGTCGAAACCGAACTGGCTGCAATTAAAATTTTTTTTCTGGTTGTCAAATAGCAAACATAAGACTTTGCCACTTTAAAATAATTTTTCAAATTAATTAAAAATTTTTTAAACTTATTAATATTATTCATTTTAACTTTTCACAAAAATATAATGTACTTTCATATAATTTCATAAAAATAAATATAAATTAAAATTTTCATTGAGAAACATAAGTTAAAAGATTCTACAGAAATAAAATTGGTATAATAATTAATAATATTCTTCAGGCCTCAAATTTTTTGTTTGTCTCATAAACTATGAAATTACCACGAATTCTAATACAAAACCTTCAACATTTTTTTCCATTTCTGACAAGAATGAATTTTTATAATATTTATTTATTTTAAAAGTTTTAACGCAATTATTTTGATGAATAACAAAATTCTCCACAGAAATTCAATTATTTTTAGGAATTTCAATAGAACTCTTTGCAAAATTCAATTATTTTCTTAAATAACAATATTCATTATAAGAATTCAATTATTTTCAAAAGTAATCAAATTCTTCGAAGAAATTCAATTATTTTTAACAATTTTAAGGATTATCTCTTTTTCGACAAAAATCCACTTAGTTTTAAAAATTTAAATAAAATTCTTTGCATAATTTTAATTATTTTCAAAAGTTCTTCGCAATTCAATGATTTTCAATATTTATTTTTATAAAATTTATCAAAAAATTTCATTATTGAAAACATTTTTTATACAATTCTACGAAAGCATTCAATTATTTTCAGAAATAATAAATTTTTTTTTAGGAATTCAATTATTTTCATCGCAGAATTTCAAATATGTTGAATAGAATTTTAAATAAATTCCTCGAAAAAAGCAATTATTCTTAAAAATTTTATTAAAACTTGACGACAAAATTCAATTTTAAGAAATATTAAATTATTCAATAAAATAATAAAATTCGTTGCAATAATTCAATTATTTTTATAAATAACTTTTATTTCGTCGCAAAAAATCGAAAATTTCTAGAAATTTTTAATAATTTTACAAAAAAAATTCAATTATTTTGAGAAACAACAAAATTCTTCCCATAAAAATAATCAAAATTTCTTAAAAATTTAATTTTCGTCACAAATCAAATTATCTTTATAAAATGATAGCGAAATTCGTCTCCAGAATTAAATTATTGTCAAAAATAAAATTCTTCGCATGAATTCAATTATATTCATAAATTATTATTTAAATTCTTCTCAAGGAATTCAATTATTTTAAAAAATTTTTAAAGTTTTAAAAATAACGATTATTTTGAAAATAAATTTTAGAAAAAATCTTAAAATTGCCCTTTTTTGACTCTTTTTTAAACATATTAATATGAAAATTTAAAATTTTGAAAGACAGATATAACCAAGGTGTCCAGCTACCTTGAAAACCTTGAAAAATACTTAAATTTTTTTTTACTCCTTGAAAACCTTGAAAACACCTTGAATTTTATGACAAAATCTTGAAAAATTAAAATTCTTAAAAATGAGATTTATTTCCTTGATGTTTTAAGTTGAATTCTCTTCAATATTTCAATTATCTTTATAAATATAAAAATTCTTCGCCGAAATTCAATTAATTTCAAAAAATTTTCTTACTTTGAATTTTTCCTTCATTTCAAGACAAAATTTTGACTTTTTCCCTAAAGAATATTCTGCGATTCAGTCTAAAAATGATTAGATACTCAAAAAAATGTTCTATTACATTTATTTACGAATTTCTTTAACTGTAAAATTATTCGAAAACAACAATAACTGCTTTAAAAAAAAAAATATTTAATCATTATTATTTTTCCATAGGAATTAAGATTTTCAAAACATTCAAATTCAAATCTTTATGAAATTTAACAATTTATAATCGTTAAAGATAACCGAGTGATAAGATCATTATTTTTCACTATAAAAAATATTTTTACCGTAACTTCTTCAAAATTATTTTCATCATTTCAAATCAATTAATATTTTCTAATTTTTTTAATTAAAATTTTTCTTTAAATCAATTATTTACAATAATTTTTTTTAAAATTCTTAGAATTTTCAAATGTATTTGTTTGTAATTCAATTTTACGAAATTTCATCGATTATTCAGAGATACTTCAATTAAATATATATTTGAAAATAAAAACTTCAAATAATTTCAATTAAACTTTTTGAAAAAATTAATTCTACAGAATTGTTAGTTAAAAATAGGAAAAATTAAGATTTTCAAAGTCTTCAATTTGAAACTTTTTCAAAATTCAATTATTTCTAAAAATTCACGCTATAATGCTTTTAATATTCAATTATAATTGAAAATTTTAACTGAAATCCATTTTTAAATTAATTTTTATCAGAAAATTCTACTAGAATTCAATTATTTAAATAAAAAAATAAAGAATTTATATTGAATAATTGAATGTTTCTTAATATTGAATTCTCATAAAAAATTTTATCAACAAATTTTTAAAAAATTAAATTCTTTCGACGAATTTTAATAAAATTTTTAAAAATAATTACATTTTTTGTATCATTTTGATTAAAATTATACAAAAACTAATTGTAATTCTGCGATGAGTTTGATTATTTATGAAAATAATGGAATTATTGCGAAGAAATTTATAAAAAATTTGTAAATAATAGAATTCTTGTGGAAATTTTTTTTTTATTTATGAAAATAATTAAACGTTTGCGTAGAATTTTATTAAAAATTTTCTTAAATAATTGAATTCTTGGGGAAAATTTTATTAAAATATTAGATATTGTATATAATTGAATTTAGGAAAATTTTTGCAAATAATTGAAATTTTGCCAAGAATTTTATTAAAATTTTTGAAAATAATTGAATTTCTGCGAAGAATTTTATTATTTTTTAAAATAATTGAATTTTTGCAATTATTTGAAACTTCTCCAAAATTAAAAATTTTTTTTAGTGTTTTTAACTAAAATTCCTCGATATATTTATTATTTTTAATAATTAATTAAATATGTACATATATTAAAAAATTTAACTAATTTTAGAATTATTTAAATTTTGAAAATTTTTGCAAAAATGTAAGTTCTTTAGAATTTCTCATGAAATTCATTAAAAATTGAAATTTTATAAAATTTGAAGTTAAAATCTTTTCAAGTTATAATTTTATGAAAGATTTTCAAGAATTAAGTTATTTAAAAAGAAATTATTGTCAGAAATGGAAAAAATTGAAGGTTTTATATTAAAAGAATTTTTTTTTTTTTTGCTAGAAAAAACTATTAATAATAATATTTTATTTATTTGAATGTTAATTAATTTTTTTCCAAAGGTCTGCATTCTGTTGAATGAACCACCTTATAATTTATAAAATTCTTTATACGATATCTATATTATTTAAATTATTAACATAAAAAAACATATTTATATTATGTTGTGGTGTTAATAATCTAAATCAGAAATAAAACGCAATGAATTCTATAACTTTGAGTCTAAATTTTATGATTACACTTTGAAAAAGATTTCAAAAAAAGAAAAACTTGTTTATTTTTGATTAGAAAAAGGTGAGAAAGGGGACAAATCAGCAAAAGAGGGGAAAAAGGTGACAAATCGTCAAAAAATGTGAAAAAGGGGATACAATTGAAATTCTTTTGAAATTACTGTTTACAGTTTTGTTTACTTTTACTTTATTACAAACAAACAAAATTTTGCTAAATTGTATAAGGACTGAAAACATGTTTAAAATATTATTTATTACCTATAATAAAAATAAAAATTTGGAATTAAATTTGTTTATTTATTTATTTACTTTTTAATATAAACAAACATATCCATGATTGTTTTATATTAAAAAGTAAATAAATAAATGAACAAATTTAATTCTAATTGAGCTCCCGCGGGCAATAACTCGATCTGCGCTCGGACGCAAGCGCTAGTACCAGTCGGGGAGCAGTGAGCGCCTCTGCGCCACTCACTGCCACCCGACTGGTATTAGAGAGTGCGTCCGAGCGCAGATCGAGTTATTGTCCGCGGGAGCTCAATTTAATTAAAAAACTTTACAAAAACTTTTTTTATTTTTTTTTAAATTAAATCGATTGTTTGACTAAAGCAATTAATAATATTTTATTAATAAATTAATTCTACAATTGAGCTGCCGGATCAAAGAAGGGCACATAACCAATGTAATTCAAATGGGTTATGTGCCCTTCTTTGATCCGGCAGCTCAATTAAAGAAAAGCACTTATGGATTTTATTCCACCAAATTTTAGGCGCTATTTAGAGTGAGTTATTGTTATTAAATGTACAAAAGGAAATAAATCAATAGCTGAAAAATTACTAATTGTACCTAATAGCTTAAAATTTGTTCTTAAAAAATCAATTATACCAATTTAAGAATTGAAAAGTAAGTGTTAATAAAATAAGAAAATATAAACATACCGGATTTGAGCCAGGAATAATTTTGCCATTTAATTTATGCATTGCGTCGAGAGCCATTTCATCAGTGGGAAAATGAACAAAACAATAACCAGCTGGTTCTCCAGTGTAGCGATTCCTCATTACTTTTACAGTTTGTGGTTGTTCATTCATTTTGTGAAAAGCATTTAAAATAAAGCTCTCAGTCATATATGGCTCCAACTGTAAATAAAAAATATTCAATTATGTTTACAACTTCTTTGAATTTTTTAATTTTCAAAGAGTAATTCACAACATTCAACTAAAATCCCATGTAAAATAATTAATATTATGTAAAATATCATACAAATAAACAAAATTAAAAAATTGGAGCAATAACGAAATAAAAATAATTTCTAAAATATTTCCAATGAAAATCACATGTTAATTACATTAAAAATTAATTTTCTAAAATTAGCGTTAAAATTCATAAATTATTATAATTAAGTATTTGTTTATTTTTATGAAAACGTTCAATATAAGCAAATACTAACACCGCCCATCCACAATTGACACAAAACCATCGGACCCGACATTTTTTTCCGAATTAAAATTAAACTAAGTATTTGGAAATTAATTTAATATATAAAAATAATAAAAAAAATATTATTTTTTGAAATTTCACTTAAAAGTTTGTGTTTTTTTATAAAAAAAACACCGGTGACAACACTATCACACTAAAAAACAGCAGACAGCTGTTTTTTTTATTGAACAATTAAGATGGGAAAACAGTTCTGAATTTCATCCATTTCATCTTACGAAACACTAGCGCATTCTGGTGAGTTCCATATTCAAACAAATTCTAAAATATTTATAAAATTGAAATTTTTTACCGATTTTTAAAATTTTACAAGAAAATTTTAATTCGATATTTTACATTTTTCGATAATTTTTTTTTTAACTTTAAGGTATTCTGAGTTAGTTTTAAACAAAATTTTTCAAAAATCTAGTGACATTTCTAATGTACACAAATTTCCCTAGAATTTACCGGAAACAACACTAAATTTAAAGATGTTTTTCCTGGAAACCGAATAAAATATTATTTTAAATAATGTTTGACAGTTATGAAGTATTTAATCTAAACAATTATCATGATATATTGATGGAATTAATAAAAATGGTTGAAATATGGAAAATAATTGTTATTAATTAGGTGAATTTTAATAAATTCTGTATATGTGATTTTGAGGTTAGGTTCCCCAGGCTTTGTCAACAAAATTCATTTTAAACACATAATTAATGATTATTCTAAGATAAAAGATGGATAGATGCGTGAAATATTATAAAACACTTACCATACACCATAATTGATAGAAATCTTTGCGTTCTTTTCCATACTTATTATCGAAATCGTAATTATCCCTGAAGCGCGGCATTGTGGCGAAGCAACAAGAATGTACCAGAAACTTTTCAGTGTGTTGACATGCGTGTTTCTGAATTGCATGCACTCAGCTGTCGTATAGTTGTTGACTAAACTTTTTTCACTCTCTACATTCAATAACAATTGTGAACAAATGACAAAAAATTGATTTTTAACATTCTTAGAAAATGGCAGACAATCTTGCTGCCCAATTATGTCTTCTTTTAGAACAAAGCAACATCTCGGGTGAGTTTTTTTTCTTCTATTTACATTTTTGCTCTGTAATTTATACTATTATTTATATCAGATTTGAAAGATTATAAAATTTTTTCTTTATCAAGAAATAAAGAATTAAAAATTGGATATATTTTGGAGTTTTATTCGAAACTTTAATTTTTAATATTTAGAATTTAATATGTTGTAATGAAGAAATAAATTGAATTACATTGTTATTAAAAGAAGCAATCAATATTTTTAAATTGAATGTTATTATCTACTAATAAGTCTATTGATTACGAAAATTATCAAAATTTTTTATCAATTTCAGCAATACAATGGAAATTATTAGGACAAGAGAAAGATGGTTCGATTTTATTAGGATGGGTAGAAGAAATTCCGTCAAATAACGAATTCAAGTCTTATTCTGTGATAGGTCGATACGACCGATTAAACAATAAACTACAGGTAAATTATGTCATAATAAATTATAATTATTTAATTCCATTTTTTAATATATATATATTATATTTAATTAATTATTAAAAATAAAGGATTTTAAGAACAATTCTAGTGATAAACATTTAAAAAAATTAAATTTTGGAGAAGTTAAAAATGATTGCAAAAATTCAATTATTTTCAAAAGTAATAAAATTATTTGCAAAAATTCAATTATGCTCAAAAATTTTTTTAATTCAATTATTTTCAAACCTTTTCCTCACTTCAATGATTTTCAATATCTACTACTTTAATAAATTTTCCAAAAGAAAATTTTAGAAAATAAATAAATTTCATATTATTTGAAAATTTAATTTCTTTAGAGGAATTCTATTAAAATTTTCTTGAAAAGAATTGAATTTCTACAAAGAATAAATTAATTTTATGTTAATATTTGAAAATTTGAATTCTTTTGAGGAATTCTATTAAAATTGTTTTGAAAAGAATTGAATTTCTGCAAAGGATTTTACTATTTTATAAAAATAATTGAATTATTGCAAAGAATTTTACTATTTATAAAAGTAATTGAAATGTTTCGAAGAATTTATTAAAATTTTAAGAAATAATTAAATTGTTATGAAGAATTTTATAGAAATATGTGATAATAATGAGATTTTTTCGAGAAATTCAATTAAAGTTGTTTATAAAATAATTGAATTTCTTTAGAGAATTTTATTAAAATTAAGTATATTCAAAATAATTGAATTCATCACAAGAATTTTATTATTTTTTGAAAATAATAGAATTCTTTCAATTTTTTTGGCGAATATATTTAAAAATTGCATTCAAAGTAATTTAATTTTTATATAGAATTTTTTAAAAATATTTTGAGAATAATTGAATTATTTTTTAGAGAATTTTAAATTCTTGTTGAAATTGAATTTTATGAAAATTTTTGAAAATAATTAAATTCTTTCGTGTGATTTTATTTAAATTTGATTTAAAAATAATTTAATTCCTGCAACAAATTTTACTATTTTTAAAATTAATTGAAGTTTTGCAAAAAATTGTTACTATTTATAAAAATAATTGAATTTTTTTGAAATGTGTTAAAATTTTTTTTAAAAACTGAATTCTTTCGAAGAATTCAATTAAAATTGTTTTAAAAATAATTGAATTTTTGTAAAGATTATACTATTTAAAAAAATAATTGCATTGTTTCAATACAATTTTAATAAAATATTTAAATTCAAATATTCTAAAAGAGGCTGATAAATTTCTTTGAAGATTTGCAATTATTTTGAATTTTCCAGATAAATTTAATTATTTTCAATAAAGTTTCCCAAAAAAATTAAATTATTTATACTTTTAATAAACAATTCTAAAGAAGTATTTTTTTAAATTTTTAATTGAATGGTAAAAAAATCAAAAAAAAATTCTTTGCAGAAATTTAATTATGTTCAAAAGAATTTTTTAACTCTTATCAAAATAACAATTATTTTTATAAATAATAAAATTCTTTTCCGAAATTCAATTATTTTCAAAAATTCTAATAAAATTCTTGTCAAAATTTCAATGATTTAAAAAAAAATTTAACAAAATTTTACGCAAACATTTAATTATTTTCATAAATAATAAAAATTTCACAGAAATTCAATTACTTTCATAAATAATAATATTCTTCTTAGCAATCAATTATTTTCATAAATAATAAAACTCTCATTACAGAATTTCAATTATTTTTAATACAATTTTAATCGAATTCCTCGAAAAATGTAATAATTCTTAAAAATGTTATTTAAATTCGTCAAAATACGAATTTTGGTAAGAATTACAGTTGAATTCACAAAAAAAACTTAAATTTTTTTACTTTTGACAATATTTGAACAGAATATGAAATTGTATTTATTTAAAACAATTTAATTCTTGAAAAATTATTGTAACATTATTACTTATAAATTATTTAATGAATAATTTTACATAAAAATTAAAAAATAATTGATGCAGAAAAATATTCTCTGAATATTAAAAATAATTGATTTAGAAAAAAATTTTTGTTAGAAACTCTAGAAAATAATTGAATTTTTGAGAAATTACAAATAATAGAAAATTTTTAGAAATAATTCAATTTTGAAAAGGTGTCAAAATTAAATTTCTAATATAGATTTAATTGAAGAATTTTCAAATAATCGAAATGTCTGTAAAATTGAATTGTAAACAAATGGATTTGAAAATTATCAAAAAACTTTTTAAAAAATTATTAAAAATAATTGATTTCAAGAAGAATTTTAATTAGAAAATTATAATTGAATTGAAATGATGGAAATAATTTTGAAGAAGTTAGAGTAACAATATTTTTATAATATAAAATAATTTATCAATCGGTCATCTTTAATTAGTTTTATAATAAAAAATATTCTTCTAAGTTGCTGAATTTCAAAAAAGTTTAAATTAGAAATTTTTGTATTAATTCCTATGGAAAAATAACAATGTTTAAATATTTATTTAATAATTAATAATAATAAAGATAATGATTTCAGGTTTTACACAAATTCCCCGAGGTAATTAATCTTATACAAGCGACTATAAATCAAAGTCATTCGCTATTAGGATACATAACGAAAAATATTTCCGAAAAGAGTAAAGAATGTTGTCCTCAGGGTACGTCAAAAATTATAGACAGTGAAACAAAAGAAATTGTCGAAATTAGTGAAAAAGGTGCACAAGAAAATTCACAAGTTGACAATAAAAAAGTAAATGAAAGTTTAGATGAAAATAAACAAGTTCCAACTGAAAGTTCAAAACTTGATAATCAAGAAACGAAGGAAAATTTTAATGATTGTGATAATGAAGGGAAAAAAAATAAAGAAACACACACAAACAATAATGAAACTACTTCTGAATCGGAAGTGTATCAAGCATTTCTTCTCGAATTTACAAATAAAGAAGAAAAGAAAATTCATACTTTAGAAGCGGAAAAAACGAAACAAATACGAATTCAATTTTTATATCGTGAGAAAGATCAACGAACAATGGAAAAATTTGTATTGCTCGTTCATCAAGAATGTGAGTATTGGAATTTATTTTAGGAAATTAAAAAATATTTTTTTAATATTAAGGAAAAACTAATTTTAATTAAATTTCTCAAAAGAATTTAGGATTTATTTTCATGAATAATAAAATTGACCACAAGAATTTAATTATTTTCAATGCAATTGTAATTAAATTTATAGAAATAATTTAATTATTTTCAAAATTGTTAATAAAAAAATTTTCAAAAAATAATTTAATAAAATTTAAATAAAAATTTAACAAAAATTGTCAAATTGCTCATATAAAATAAGTAAATTTTGAAAGAATTACAGTTGTAATTTTTATGAATAGTTAAATTTCAAAAAGCTTTTAAATTAAAATTATTTAAAATTTTAATTCCTGTGAAAAAATAAATAGAAATAGATATTTAAATATTTATTTTACGAAAATTATTGAATTTTTTAATAATTTAATGTAGAAATTAAGAAAAAAAAATTTGTCTTTTCCATAAAATTCTTCGCAAAAATTCAATTATGTTTAAAATTTTTTTTAAATTCTCCTAAAAATTTCAATTAACTTTATAAATAATTAAATTGTTCTCCGCAATTCAATTATTTTCAAAAATTTTAAGAAAATTCTACGCAATTAAATTATTTTCATACATAATAACATTCTTTGAAAGGAATTAATCAAATTTTCAATTATAATTATGAACAGACAAGATTATTTTTAAAAATTGAAAAAATTCTTTGTTTAATTCAATTATTTTCCAAATTTTTAATTAAAATTTTTAAAAAAACATTATTTTCAAAAAATTTAAAGAAACTCGTCAATAGAATTTAATTATTCATAAAAAAACTCTAATAAAAATTTTGGAAGCCATTTGTAGTTTTATTTATGTTCAAAATCAAATAAATTTAAAATTGATGAGAATAAAATCGGGAAAAAATAGGACAAAGCTGGGAAAAAACCGGGAATTTTGTTGAACGAAAATAGTAGACATGTTATTTTTCTTTAAAAATGTTAACATGCAATTTTCCTTTTCCATGTTATCTTCTTTTTAAATTAATTTAATTTTTTTTTAATTATTGACTAAAACTGTGAAAAATGTTGTTAAGATTGTTCTAAAAAAAGGATTTTATATCTTTATTAGTATTACGATTGTCAAAATTTTTTGTTACTAGTTGCTTTTTTTCAAGATTTTGAACAAAGTTTAAAGATAAAAATTATTTAATTTAGACATGACTTCAATGTTCTAATTATGGCTGATTCTTCTGAAAGTTACATTTTTGATATCTCGATTAATTTTATAGAATCTACTCTCTAATAATATTATTAACCATTTTCATAGTAAAAATTTATAATTTATAAGAGAACTAAATTTCTATCGTTTTTTTCAAACTCTTGGAAATTTTTTAAAAATAGTACCAAAAAATACAATGTTTTTCTATCATTATTAGCATTTTAAAAATTTTTGGACCTCCGTTTTATATGTGATAAAAATGTTTAAATTTTGTCTTCAGTTTAAGTTAAAATTACTTCACGATGATTAATGATGTTTTTATACATTAAAAATATTATAAAAAAAATGTGAATGTACATTAAAATAAAGTTAATGGTCTGATGTTTAATTTTTCTATATAATATTTATAAAAAAGAGGAATATTATTGCTTTTATAAATATTTAAATTTTACATATTGGCCCGAGTAAAATTCAAAGAAGAAAGACTTTAATATTTTCAAATTAATTTTGGGCAACTTAAATTCTTACTTTTGAGTATGAAATAAAGTAGTTTCAATAGAAAAAACCATATAATTAAAAAAAAAATAAATATAAAAATCGAATATGAAAAGTATCACTTTCAGAAAAATAAACATAAAAATGCCTGTGATTTTAACTGTTTAAGAGAACATTAATGTATAACTACATAATAATGAATATTGTTAACACTGTTTTGTAAAATACTTGTTTTTTCATCACAAATAATTCCTAAATTTGAACCTGGAATTTTTAATATTTTTAACCTGGAAAACCTGGAAAAAGCCTGGAATTTTGAAATCTAGATTTTGTGGCAACCATGATAAAATTCTTTAAAGAAATTCCATTATTTTCGAAACAACTTTAATTGAATTTCTCGAAAAATTTCTTTATTTGAAAATATTTCTATAAAATTCTTCATAACAATTTAATTATTTCTTAAAATTGTCAAAAATTCTCGCGAAACATTTTAATTATTTTTTATAAATAGTAAAATCTTTCTAAACAATATTCAATTATTTTTTTCAATAGTAAAATCTTTACAAAAACCCAACGATTTTTTAAACTATTTTAATTGAATTCCTCGGATGAATTCAAATATTTTTAAATATTTCCATAAATTTCAATTATGTCCAAAAATTTTAATAAATTCTTCGGAACAATTTTTATAAATATTAGTAAAATTCTCCGCAAGAATTTAATTATTTTCAATTCACTTTTAATAAAATTCTTCTTCATAAAATTCAAATGCTTTAAAAATTTTCAATTAAAATTATTAAAGAAACTCCATTAGTTTAAAAAAAAAAATTCAAAGAAATTCTTCAAAAGAATTTAATTAGGATTTTAAAAAATTTTAATAAAATTCTTTGTGAGAATTCAGTTATTTTCCTAAATAATAAAATTCTTTGAAGGAATTCTATTATCATCAAATTTTTTGATAAAATTCTTTGCAACAATTCGATGATTTTCAAAATATTAATTTTAAAATTGGAAATATTTAAAAAAAAAATTATAAAAAAGTTAATAATAATGCAATTTATTTTGCATTATTTTTGTTTATGAATCACAATTTTTTTAACAAAATTATTATTTTGTTTTAGAAAAAGAAGAAAAATATTCGCAAAATTCCTATTTTTTTAATCTTATTTTTGGAACAGGATTTTCCACAGGAATTAAGACATTCAAAAATTTCGAATTCAAACCATTTTTAAATTAAACAACTTATAAAAGTATTTGTTATAAAATATGAAGATATCGATTGCTCCGAGTCGTAGACTCGGAGTGATCGATTTCTTCATTTTTTATAATAATTAAAGATGACCAAGTAATAAAATCATTATTTTATATTATTATAAGAATATTGTTACTGTAACTTCATCAAAATTATTTTCATCATTTTAATTCAATTATTATTTTCTAGGATTTTAAATTATTTTTTATGAAAATAATTGAATTCCTTAAAAAAAATTTATTATTTATAAAAATAATAATTGGATTCCTGAGAAACTTTTATTATTTATGAAAATAATTAAATGTTTGCATAAAATTTTATTAAACTTTTTTTTAAATAATTGAATCCTTTTTGGGAAATTTTATTAAAATAGTAGATATTGAAAATCATTAAAATTAGAAAATTTTTTGAAAATTATTGAAATTAGGACAAGAATTTTTTTGACATTTATGAAAATAATTGAAATTTGGAGAAGAATTTTGTTATTTATAAAGGTAATTGGGATTTTTACGAAAAATTTTTTTCAAATTTTGAACATAGTTGAATTTTATAAGAAGAATTTTATTTTTTCTTCAAATAATTGAATTTCTGCAATTATTTGAAAATTCTATTATTTTATTTAAAAATTTTTTCAAAAAAATCAATTTTGTTTTTAAATCAGATTTTTTTAAAAATAATTGCACTTTTCGCGGAATTCATTTAAAATTGTATGAAAAAATAATTTAAATTCTACAAATGAGTTTTATTATTTATAGAAATAATTGAATTTATGCAGCGATTTGAATTGAAAAAAAATTAATTTCTTAAGAAAAATGTTATTATTTAGAAAATTAATTGAATTCTTGCCCAAAAAATTGATTAAAATCTTTTAAATCATTCAAATTTTCCAAACAATTTTATTATTTTTGAAAATAATTTAATTTCTCAGAAGTATTTTATTATTTATGAAATTAATTGAAATCTTTCCAAAAAATTGATTTAAATCTTTGAAATAATTGAATTCCTCACAAGAATTTTTTACTTATGAAAATAATTGAATTTTCCTGAAAAATTTAATTATTTATAAAAATAATTAAATTCTTTACAAGAATTTTGATTTAAATCTTTGAAATAATTTGAATGTTGCAAAGAATTTTATTATTTTTCGAAATACTTGAATTTGTCAGAAGAATTTTATTTTTTTTTTAAATACAAAATCGTAGATATTGAAAATCATTGAAATTAGAAAATTTTTTGAAAATTATTAAATTTAGGACAATAATTTTTTTGACGTTTATGAAAATAATTAAACTTTGGAGAAGAATTTTGTTATTTATAAAGTTAAGTGGGATTTTTTTTAAAATTTGAACATAGTTGAATTTTATTTTTTTTTTAAATAATTAAATTTCTGCAATTATTTGTAATTCCTTCAAAATTGAATTTTTTTAGTGTTTTCAACATGAATTTAAATTAGAAAATTTTTCAATTCTATTATTTTTAAAATTACTAATTTTATTTAAAAAAGGTAGTCTCTTATTTGAATTGTTTATTTACAGATATTCAAATGTACACTGTTGCGATTGATGTATTGGAGAACGAGGAACAATTAGTAAATGAATTAAGATCAGAAATATTGGTGAAAAATTTTTTATGGGCACAATGGGACTCGACGAATCAGGTTTTGTATCATATTCACGAAAGAAAACCTGCGGTGAGTTTGTTCACTGACATGAGTCCTGGAGTTCTACCTAAACCATCAAATTCCTCACCAACGCTCAGCGGATTTCAATTTCACGATGATCTTCCTCACGAGACGGTGGTAAGTTGTTGTTAAAGATGAAGCTTGTTATTTTATTTATTTCTTTAAGATTTAAAAAAATTATTATCATAATTTGTTACCTTTTTTACTTTTTTTTATGATTAGATTATTTTTTAGACATAAATACATTTCAAAAATAGTTGAATTTAAAATGTAAAAAGTATTTTTAAAAAACGAAGAATCTGACACTCAATAATTACATTATTGTAATTTTTCGAAAAATATTATTAAAAAATTTTTAAAAATTGAATTCTTTCATGAAATTTTATTAAAAATAATTTAATTTTTGTAAAATATTTTACTATTCATAAATATAATTGAATCAGGGCTCGAACTAGGTCCGTAATTCTTGTCAAAATTTCAATAATTTTTAGAAATAATTAAATTCTTGGCAAAATTTCAATTATTTTTAAAAAGTTTCCTCAATTCAATGATTTTTAATAGGTATCTACTATTCTAATGAAATTTTCCAAAAGAATTCAATTATTTAAAAAAAAATTTAATAAAATTTGTGTAGAATTTAGAAACCTTCAATTATTTTCACAAAATAATAAAAATTTCACAGAAATTAAATTTTTTACAAATTTTATTTAAATTTCTTAGCCACAATTCTATTATTTTCATAAATAACAAAATTCTTTTTAGGACTACAATTATTTTCAATAAATAATAAAATTGATGGCAGAATTTTTATTATTTTTAATACAATAAATTTTATTCGAATTCCTCGAAAAATGTATTTATTCATAAAAATTATATTAACATTCATCAAAAGAATTCAATTATTTAAAAATTTGTTGATAAAATTCTTTATAAAAAATTATTTTTAAGATGTAATCAATTATTCAATAAATTATTTATTTTTGTATTTAAATAATTGAATTTTCGTAGAATTTTTTAATCAAAACTGATTTGAAAATTAATTTTTTTTTTGGAATTTTAGATTGTAATGGAATATTAAAAGCATTGGAGCATGAATTTTTAGAAAGAATTGAATTTTGAAATGGTTTCAAATTAAAATCTTGGAAGATCTGAATTTTTCATACTTTTCAACTAACAATTCTGTAGAATTAATTTTTTTTTTTTAAAGTTCTCATCAAAATTTCAATTATTATCTTTTCAATATAATAAACTTCTTCGCAAAAATTCAATTGTTTTCAAAAATTTTAATAAAATTCTTGTCAAAATTTCAATTATCTTTAGAAATAATTAAATTCTTCTCCGAAATTCAATTATTTTAAAAAACTTTAATAAAATTCTTTGCAAAATTACAATTATTTCCAAAAATTTTCCTCAATTCAATGATTTTTAATATCTACTATTGTATTAAAATTTTCCAAAAGAATTCAAAATTATTTAAAAACAATTTAATAAAATTCTACGCAAACCTTTAATTATTTTCATAAAATAATAAAAATTTCACACAAATTCCATTATTTTAGTAAATAATAAAATTCTTGTTAGGAATTCAATTATTTTGATAAATAATAAAACTCATTTTAGAATTTCAATTATTTTTAATACAATTTTTATTGAATTCCTCGAAAAAATGTAATTATTCTTAAAGATTTTATTAAAATTCAATTATTTAAAAATTTATTAATAAAATTTTTTATGAGAATTCATATTTAAGAAACATGTAATTATTCAATAAATGGTTTTTTTTATTTAAATAATTGAATTCTAGTAGAATTTTCTCATAAAAATTGATTTAATCCGCAATTTTTTATTTTTGATACGTAAAGTCCGTATTTTCAAATACTTTCACTTGTTCGAGCCCTGTTGAATTTTTTCGAAGAATTTATTAAAATTTTCGAAAATAGGTAATTGAATTTTATTGAAATTTTTTGTAACGAATTAAGAAAAAAATTTAATTCTTTCGTGGAATTTTTTTGAAAATAATTGAATTTTTGCAGAGATTTTACTATTTAAAAAAATAATTGAATTGTTTCGAAGGATTTATGAAAATTTTAGAAAATAATTGTATTCATTCGTGAAATGTTATTAAAAATTTGTGTAAAAATAATTGAATTTTTGCAAAAAATTTTACTATTTTATAAAGATAATGTAAATTCTTACGAAGAATGTTATTATTTATGAAAATAAATTGAATTCTTGCGAAGAATTTTATTAAAACTTTTGAAATTAATAAACAAGAATAGTTAATTAGTAAATTTGTTAATAATTGCATTTTTTTTTAAAGTTCGAATCTGAAATTATTCAAAAATTTATATTTTAAAATAAAAAATTTTCTAATAATATAATACGTTTTAATTATAAAATTGTATTTTTATTCAATTTAGTGATTTAAAGATATTAATTTATTAAATTAATATATTTGCAATTACAATATGAATAGTATTATTGTTTATTTACAAAAATAAAAATGTTAAATGGTAAAAATTATATTTAAAAACTTCATTTTTTGTTTAAGTTTGTTTATTTATTTAATAAATCGAACAATATGAACTATTTAATAATAACTTTTAATATTAATTAAACTTTAAGTTAACATAATATATATTTAATATTAATTAGATAATTACTCAATTTTATTTTTTTTTTGGTTCTTTTTTTTGAACGATTCAATTGACAGGTAGACTGGATCTGAAATTCAAAAATTAAATTTCATTTCAAAGGAAATTTACATAAATATATGAATTTTATTATTTTTTCTTATTGATATTATACATACATGGTTGCCACAGGTTAGGAAATTTTTTATTTTTAAAAGAATACTTTGATATTTTTATTCCTGTAATTATTAAATTTATATATTGTTTTAATATCACTAGTAACAATTCGCGCGCGGCTAACTTCTCACTCGCTTTTTTAAATAAAATTAACAATTTTAAAAATAATAGAATTCATAAGAAAATTCTGAGTTTTTTTTGTCTTTTTTATTTGACTCAAACAATAAAATCACCACGAATTCTAATACAAAACCTTCAATTTTTTCAATTTCTGCCAAAAATTTCTTTTTACCTAACTTAAATCTTGAACAACTATCATAAAATAAATAAATTATTTAATGAATAATTTTACTTAAATATCTCAAAATTAATTCAATTTTAAAAGAGTTGCGTTTACAATTTTCATAAATAATTCCTTATGAAAATTGAGAATTTTCTACAAAAATATTAAGAAATATTTTTGAAAATTTTCTAATTTGTAATATTATTTTATCAAGCAGATATTAATATAGTTAATCAATGACATCTAAAATAATTTCATTTTGTAAGAATCACAATCAGAGAAAAAGTCAAAACTCTGTCTGAAAATAGAAAAGTTGGGATGAAGGGAAATCAATTTTTTGTGACAACCCCGATATGCATAATAACAAATGATAAAATAAACAACTTTAAAAATATAATATAAACTTATTACTTTAATAAAAATAAATTTTATATAAAATTAAATTTAAAAATTACGTATAATAATTAAATAATTACCTCCAAAACTCTAAATTCCAGCCTCAATTTTTTCGCAATCAGTATTCACCTCGCGAACGCCCAAAACATTTATTCTTGTATGTGATTGAATATACAATTCAAAATTGACATTACCTACTAATTCTTTACTGAAATTCGTGAGATGTCTCGCCGAAGCTGAGTCCACATGAAGAATCTATTATAATAAAATAAATATAAATTTATATTAAAAATCATTAATTTCAAATTGCTTAATTCATTTAATCAATAAAAATGTGAATGAATTAAATATTTTTCAAAATTTTTTTTTTTAAATTACTTACAAAATTTGGTTGAATACATGCTTTCACACGATCGATTTGTTCGTTCCAAATTTTGACCAAAATTCTTGATCCACTGGCATTGTTTAAAATGCATTTTTGTACCATTTGTTTCCCTACTCGTTGAGGAGGTATTACTGATTCTACATATGCAATTAATTCCCTGAAATAATTAAATTACATACAATAATAATTTTTTAATTACATATATTAATATTCGTTGTATTCCGGGAAATTGTTCGCCATCGATTATTTAGGAAAATAATTAAATTCTCGCGAAGAATTTTGTTAAGATTTTTGAAAATTCTAATTAAATTCTTTTTGAAGAATTTCTTTGAATTTTTTTTTAAATAATGGAGTTTCTTTAATAATTTTAATTAAAAATTTTGAAAATAATTGAATTTTAAGAACAATATTTCTTTCAAGTATTTAAAATAAACGTGTTTGTTAATAATTGAAATTGAACATTTAATTATTGAATTTTATTAAAATTTTAGAAAATAATTGAATTTTTTTGGAAATATTAATATAACAAATTAAGAAAAACATTGAATTCTTTCTCGTAACTGTTTTGAATATAATTGAATTTTTGCAAAGAATTTTACTATTTATAAAAATAATTGAATTGTTTCAAAGGATTTACAGGGTTGCCACGCAACCTGGAAACCTGGAAATGTCAGGGAATTTTATAAACCTTGAAAAAACCTGGAAAAGTCAGGGAATTTTGATTGGAATCCTGGAAAGTTATTGTTTTCTAAAGTTATTGTGCTTTTTCTTGAAATCTAATAAATTTGACTTAAATATTTCATAATTAATTCAATTTTAAAAGAGTTACCTTTACAATTTTTTTTGCAATAATTCAATTATTTTCATAAATAATAAAAAACTTTATAGATTTACAATTGTTTTAATCAATAATAAAACTCATCGCAAAATTTCAATTATTTTTAATACAATTTTAATGGAAAAAGTGATTATTTTTCTCGAAAAATGTCATTATTCTTAAAAATTTTATTAAAATTCATCAAAGAAACTCAATTATTTTAAAATGCTTTCCTATAATTTATTTATTAGAATTTAATGATTATTATCAATTCATTTTTTATTAAATTTCTTGAAAGAATTAAATTATTTTCAAAAATATTAGTGAAATTTTTTTTCAAAATAATTTTAATAAAATTCTTTTTAACAAATTCAATTTTTTTTAAATTCTTCATTCAATGACTTTCAATATCTACTATTTTAATAAAATTTTTCACAAGAAATAAATTATTTAAAAAATTTTTTGATAAAATTCTAAGCAAACCTTTTATTATTTTTTTTATAAATAATAAATATTTCACAGCAATTCAATTATTTACAAAATTTTTATAAATTTATTTGCAATAATTCCATTATTTTCAAAAATATTCAATTTATTTAATATTATTGAATTTATCACTTTTAATAATATATATTATTAAAATATTCAATTCATTTTTACAGAGATTCAATTATTTTTATAAATATGTAATACAATTTTTTACAGGGATTCAATTATTATTTTCATAAATAATAAAACTCATTGTAGAATTTCAATTATTTTTTATACAATTTTAATCGAATTCATCGAAAAATGTAATTATTCTTAAAATTTTATTAAAATTCGTCAAAAGAATTCAATTATTTAAAAATTTGTTAATAAAATTCTTTATGAGAATTGAATTTTGAGAAACATTTAATTATTCAATAAATTATTTATTTTTGTATTAAAAATAATTAGGTATTTAAAAAAGAAATATTATTGAAAAATTCGTCTCAAGAATTCAACTATTTTCAAAAGTAATAAAATTCTTCGCAGAAATTCAATTATGATCAAAAGTTTAAAAAATTTATTGTCAAAATTCCAATTATTTTTATAAATATTAAAATTTTTATTCAAAATTCAACTATTTATAATAATTGAGTTTTGAAAAGGTTTCATATTATAATCTTTGAATGTTTGAATATTTCATACTTTTAACTTAAAATTGTGTAGATTTAATTTTTTTGTAAAAGTTCAATTGCATTTTTTTTAAGTTATTTCAAGTTTTTATTTTCTAATATATATATATTTGATTGAAGTACTTCCGAATAATCGATGAAATTTCGTAAAATTGAATTGTAAACAAAAGGATTTAAAAATGTTCAAAGAAATGTTTCAAAAATTATTTAAAATGAATGAATAATTAATTTAAAGAAGAATTTTTGTTAAAAATTCTGGAAAACAATAATTGAATTGAAATGATGAAAGTAATTTTTAATTATTATTTTATAACAATTTTTTTAAAAGTTGTTTAATTTCAAGAAGGTTTGAATTAAAAATTTTTTGTAAAATATAAATGTAGTTTTAAAAACCTGGAAAAGTCAGGGAATTTGAAATGAGCAAAAGCGTGGCAACCCTGAATTTATTAAAGTTTTAGGAAATAATTGAATTTTTTCGAAAAATATTGTTAAAAATTTTTTAAAAACTTGAATTCTTTCATGAAATGTTATTAAAATTGTATTGAAAATAAATAATTTTACTATTTATAAATAAAATTGAATTGTTTCGAATGATTTATTAAAATTTTACAAAACAATTGAACTTTTTCTAAATATTTTATAACCTTAAATTCTTTCATGAAATTTGTTTGAAAAAAAATTAATTAATATAATAATTAGAGAATTTTTATCAAATATTTATTTATAATAAATAAATTTATTATACTTACACTGTTAATTCTCCGATGCAAACTGCTTTTATCATTTCGTCAGAAGAATATCCTATTATATTCTTTTTAAAATAATCGGCTATTTCCGACATTATATGTATTTTCCGTATTTTCTTTTTATCACTTTTTATCTCTCGATATGTGAATCCATTTAAGAAACAGAAGAAACTAGAGAATATGACACAAAGTCACAAACGTTTCTTCTTTTGTTTTCGTTTCTATGGAAACGTATAGAGGTACTGCCACAACAAGGTAGTTCAAGTTGGGTGGGGGAAATCCAATATGGCTGACATCAGCTGATTTACCGGAGGACAAACAATGCATTGAATTCAATGGGACAAATCAGTTTTTTAACCATAACTTTTTAAATATTTATTTTTGAACCATAGTGTAATGGAAAATTATTCTTTATTTATCGAAATCTATTTTTTAAAACAATAAAACCAAAAAATTAAATTTTATTGTTTTAAAAAATAGATTTCGATAAATAAAGAATAATTTTCCATTACACTATGGTTCAAAAATAAATATTTAAAAAGTTATGGTTAAAAAACTGATTTGTCCCATTGAATTCAATGCATTGTTTGTCCTCCGGTAAATCAGCTGATGTCAGCCATATTGGATTTCCCCCACCCAACTTGAACTACCTTACTCGCTGCTGTCTGCGCAGGCAGCTGAGATACAATGAGAGTAAGGGAGTAAGAAAATTCAAATTCATGCTTTTTCTCCCTCACTCTCATTGTATTATTTTCAACTGCCTGCGCATTTAAATACAAAAGTACCTAAATAATTTATTGAATAACTGAATGTTTTTTAAAATTTAATTCTTATAAAGAATGCTATCAACAAATTTTTAAGTAATTGAATTCTGTTGATGAATTTTAATCAAATTTTTAAGAATAATTACATTTTTCGAGGAATTCGATTAAAATTGTACTAAAAATAATTAAAATTCTGAAAAATTTCAAATTTTTTTGAGAATTTCCACTAGATTAAATTCGCTAATTAAAAAACTATTCTTAAAGATTGGAATCAAATTCTTTAAAACGATTCAATTATTTTCAAAAAAAATTCGAAATTCAATTATTTTCAATATCTAATATTTTCATAAAACTTCGCAAAAAATTCAATTATTTAAAAAAAAATTGATAAAATTCATCAAAAATTCAATTAATTTCATAAATAATATAATTTCCACTTGAATTAAATTAATTTAGAAAAGCATTTTCAAAAAAATCAATTATTTAACAAAATTTTTATACAATTCTTCACAATAATTCAATTGCTTTTACTAATAAAGACATTTTTCATGTAAATTCAATTTTTAAAAAAAAATTGTGATAAAATTGTTATCAAAAATTCAATTATTTTCGTAAATAATAAAACTCATCGAAGATTTTTAATTATTTTTAATGCTATTTGAATTTAATTAATCGAAAAATTCAATTATTTTCACAAATAAAATTTTCTTAATATTTATTATATTTCGAAAAAATTAATTATTTAAAACAATTTAATTTTTAGTTTCTCGAAACAATCAATTATTTAAAAAAAATTTTTTTTTAAATTCTTTTGAAAGAATTCACTTATTTACAAAAATATTAGAATTTTTCACAAGAATTTAATTATTTTCAAATATTTTAATAAAATTGTTTGAAAGAAATCAATTATTTTAAATACAATTTTAATTAAATTTTTTTTAAATAATTCAATTATTCTTTTAGATTTTAATAAAATTCTTCTCAGGAATTCAATTATTTTTAATACAATTTCACAGGAATTCAATTATTTAAAAATATTTTAATAAAAATGTTCGAAAGAAATCTATTATTTTAAATACAATTTTAATAAATTTTTTTTAAATAATTCAATTATTCTTTTAGATTTTAATAAAATTCTTCCCAAGAATTCAATTATTTACATAAATAATTCTTCAAAAGAATTCAATTATGTCGATAAATAACAAAATTATTCCTGAAAATTCAATTATTTTGAGGCATTTTAATAAAATTTTTTGCAATATTCAATTATTTTCATAAACAACAATATTTATCACAAGAATTCAATTATTTTTAAAAATAATAAAATGCTTTTTAGGAATTCAATTATTTTCAAAAAAATTTAATAACTTTTCTCAATTCAATAAAATTTTTTTACAGAGATTCAATTATTTTTAATACAATTTTAATCTAATTTCTCGAAAAATGAAATTATTCTTAAAAATTTTATTGAAATTCGTCAAAAGAATTTTAATTACCTATTTAAAAGTTTGTTGATAAAATTCTTTAAATGAGAGTTGAATTTTAAAAAACATTCAATTCTTCAATAAATTATTTTTTTTGTATTTAAATAATTGAATTGTCGTAGAATTTTCTAATAATAATTGATTCAAATATGAACTTCAGTTCAAACTTTAGATAATAATTGAGTTTTTAAAAGGTTTCAAATTATAATCTTTGAATGTTTGAATTTTTCATACTTTTAACTTAAAATTGTGTGGATTTAATTTTTTTTGTAAAAGTTGAATTGAATTTTTTTGAAGTTATTTGAAGTTTTTATTTTCTAATATATATTTGATTGAAGAATTTCCGAATACCTGAATAATTGATGAAATTTCGTAAAATTGAATTGTAAACAAAAGGATTTGAAAATGTTGAATGAAATTTTTCAGAAATTATTAATAATATTTCATTTACACTTTATAAAGAAGAATTTTAGTTAAAAATTGTGGAAAACAATAATTCAATTAAAATAATGAAAGTAATTTAGAAATAAGTTACAGTAACAATATTCTTATAATAGGTATAAAATGATGATTTTATCAGTCCAACATTTTTAATTATTATAAAACATGAAGATATCGAATGATATCGGTATTTTCATGTTTTATAACAATTTTTTATAAGATGTTTAATTTCAAAAAGGTTTGAATTAAAAATTTTGTAAAATATAAATGTAGTTTTAAAAACCTGGAAAAATTTCGTTTTTTAACCTGGAAAACCTGGAAAAGTCAGGGAATTTGAAATGAGTAAAAGCTTGGCAACCCTGAAATTATTTTTGATAATTATTTTTATAAATAGGTGATAACATTCTTCACAAAAATTCAATTATTTTCAATAAAACTTCACTAAAGAATTCAATTATTTTCTATAATTTTAATAAATTCTTTTAAACAATTCAATAAAATTCGTTGGAAGAATGCAATTCTTTAACAAGATAAGAAAGAAGTAAATAGTAAATATTTTTGATCAATTCATTATGGTGAATTTATAATGTTAAGTTTTTAAGTCTTAAATTCTATTTCCGAATTTATTAACTTTTCAAATAATGATTTCTTTTTTTATTTTCAGTTGAACATTCCACTGAATCTACCTCAGCTTCCCGATGCGGACAACTGTGGAACCTATGAAGATGATGTGATTCCATTGCGCGTTCACGATTGCTCTCTGGATCTCATTGTAATATCAGATTCAAAAGGAATGGTTTGCGTCTGTCATCATTATCTCTATCGTCCAATAAAGCCACCGCAACACGTTCTCGATTCAGCACTGAGCGACTCGAATACAGTTCACTTCGCATATTCCATAACACTTCTTCATCACAGTTGTGTAATTCATTGTGTAATTCCGGGAATTCCTTGGAGTCGTGCAAAACTCATGAGACCAACATTTGCCCTCTATGGAAATCATCACATGATTGTCTTCGTGCAAAATTCCTTCACTCATCTCCTCGAAATTGGTCTTCATCATCAGCCCTGTTGTCATATTTTATGCGGTCCTCTACCAACAGTACCCACAGAATCGTCCTATCTCGTTCCACTATTAAATCTCCAGGAGTCAAGCAAGGAAAATAATTCCCTCTCAAAATGCTCGTCGGACATATTCACCATCGATCTTCCAACATTAAATCTCGTCAATCTAACAATACCGATGAAATTTTTAATCGAAACATTCACGAACGAAAAGTCGATTGACGTACGCCTGGCGATTTTACATTATTTCTTTTGTCATCGTAACGATTTGGATATTGTTTCGGAATTAATTTCAATAGCGGCGGAGAAGCCGCGTTCACTTGATTTGGCAAAAATTTTACAAGAATTTTTAATAAGCGGCTCAAATACATTGGTGCAGAAAAATTTACTTGTTGATACAATGCCATTGTTGGCATTGTTACCTGTCACTACATTGGAGGAGTGCGCTGAATTGGATGCGAAAATTAATGATCTCAATGTGAGTTTGACGCATGAAAAACTTTGGAATACTTCTGTGATGTTATTGTCACCTCAACAGAGATTAGTGCCATACAGAAGTGATTTGTGGACAAAATTGTGGGATCAATTGAGTAAACGAAATGGAGATTTACCACGATTTAAACCGAGTAAAGTTGCTGAAAAATTACTCATGTCTTTGGCTTGCTATCAACCGGAAGCTTTGTCAAGATCCAGTACGCCAATGTCACCAAGTGGAGGGTAAATTCTTTTATTTTTATAAAAACCAAATTTCTTCAAAAAAATTCAATTATTTTCAAAAATTCAGATAAAATTCTTCGTAACAATTCAATTATTTTTATAACATGTAAAATCCTCCGCAAGAATTCAATTATTTTCAAAAATAAGAAAATTCTTCGCAAGAATTAGAATTTTTCCATAAATAAAAAAATTCTTTGAAGGAATAAAAAATTTTTCCATAAATAATAAAATTCTTCAGAGAGGAATTCAATTATTTTCATAAATAGTAAAATGTTTCGGAGAAATTCAATTATTTTCAATTCAATTTTAATAAAATTTTACGAAATTTAAGGAAATTGTTAAAAAAAATATAATTATTTACAGAAACCCTAATAACATTGTTGAAAACAATTTAATTTTCTATGAATAATTTTAATATAATTAAATAGAAAAATTTTTAATTACAATTAATAATAAACACGATTATTTTTAAAATTTCAAAGAAATTCTTCATAAAATTCCAATTTTCCAAATTTTCAGTAAAAATTAATTTTAAAAAATTCATTATTTTCAAGAATATTGAAATAAATTCTTCAAAACAATTTAATTATTTTAAAGAATTTTAATAAAAATCTTATTCCAAATTACTTTTAATACAATTTTAATTAATAATTACATTATCTCGAAAGAATTCAATTACAATTTAAAAAAATGTTGATAAATGAAATGAATTCATTTATTTTCAAATTTTTTTTTATAAATACTTTACAAGAATTCAATTATTTTCAGTACATCGAGAATTTAATTATTTCTAAAAATAATTAAATTCTTGAATTGAATTTTATTAAAAGTTTTTTATATAATTGAACTTCTATGAGAAATTCAATTATTTTCAAAAATAATTGAATTTTCTCTGAGAATTTTTACAAGATTTTTAAAAATAATTGAAATTTTCGAAGAAATCAAATAATATTTTTAATTGTTTTGAAAATAAGTGAAAAACTGAAAAGAATTTTTTTATTAAATAAATATAATTGAATTTTTTTTACGAAGATTTTTATTATTTATAAATTGACTTTTTGCAAAGAATTTTATTACAATTATTGAAAATAATTAAATTCTTCATAAAATTCAGTTACTTTCAAAATTTTCAGTAAAAATTATTAAGAAAAACTCCAATATATTCAAGAAAATTGAACTTTAATCCTTCGAAACAATTCAATTATTTTTTTAAATAGTAAAATTCTTTGCAAAAACTCAATTATCTTCGACAAAATTTCCATAAATTTTCAAGAGAATTCAATTATTATCTCAAATATATAAAAAAATCCTTCGAAATAATTCAATTATTTTTATAAATAGTAAAATAATTCTTTACATAAATTCAATTATTTACAATAAAATTTCACGAAAGAATTCAATTATTTTCTAAAATTTTAATGAATCCTTCGAAACAATTCAATTAATTTTTAAGTAATAAAATTCTCATGAATTCAATTTTTGTTTAGTTCAATTATTTTCAAAATTTTCAATTACAATTATTAAAAAAATTACGTTATTTAAAAAAACTCTATTAAAATTGTTTAAATATGAGTTTAATTTTCTTTCAAAAATGTTAATAAAACTTTAATAGTAAAATAAATAATTACAATTGTTAACATAAAATTTTTAAATACATTGAAATTTTGTGAAATTTAATTGGAAATAATTGATTTTTTTCAAGTAGTTTATTAAAATTTTCGAATATAAACTTTTGGAGAATTTCAATTGCAAATTTTGAAAATAGGTAATGGCATTCCAAAAAATTTTAATGAAAAATCTTCAAGTGCGTTTTAAAAATGAAAATTAATGAAAGTTAGTTTTTAAAAATACATTAATTTCTTTAATAAGTTCTATCAAACAATTTAATAAAAATTGTATTATAATCAAATTGAATTCTTCTAAACTTTAATCAAAATTTTTAAAAATAATTGTATTCTTTCAAAGAATTTTATTAACATTTTTTAAAATATTTGAATCCTTTCGTGGAAATTTGATTAAAATTGTATTGAAAATAATTTAATTCCTTCGAATATCGAAGAATTTTATAATTTATGAAAATAATCCAATTCTTGCATCCAGTTTTATTAAAATTTTTAAAAATAATTGAATTCTTTCGAAAAATATTATTAAAATTCTATCGACAATAAATGAATTTCTGCGAAATACTTTAATATTTATGTAAATAAGAAAATAAGAAAGTAAGCAAATTAGTAAAAATAATTTAACTACAATTTTCGAGAAATTTAGTTTTTCCTTTACCTTTTATAAGTCTTCCAAAAATCGAAAAAATTAATTTATTTATAAAATTTTTTATTATTTCATAATTTTTAATTCTTTATTAATTATTTTTAATTTCCATTTTATCACAATTTGGAATATTGAAATTTTTTTTATACATATAGTATTGTTAATATTATGCGATTGTATTAAAGTATTTAGAAAGATTAAAAAAAAATAGTGTAAGAATAGAAACGAACTTTTTATTCAGAGGTTAAAACTTATAAAATGGACAAACATTTGAGAAAATTTTACATTTTATCTCACTAATTAGTTAAACTGTTTATTTATTCAGAAAATAAGATTTTTAACATTCTTTTGAAATCGGATTTTTCGAATATTTTAATATTTAATTTTTTTTGTTTCTCTTGTAAACTATCTATTATTTTATAAAATCGTTCACTGTCTTCACTCGCATAATCTTTAAATATAGATTGGTAGAAATAGAAAATAACTAGGAATGTACACTAGAAATCGCGTACGTGTAAGTTTATGATATTTGAAAACATTTTATTCCGCTATTTATTGTATCACTGGTAAAATAATCGAGTAGCGAAATATTTCTTATTTTAAAAAATAATTTTTAATTTAACTTCCAATTTTTTTATTTACAGGAAATGTTTTTAATTTTCTCGTTTAGAAATATTTTTAAATTTGCATTACCTATTAGTGTAAATAAATAGATAAATATTATTATTGAAAGTTTGTAAAATCCTCAGAAGAATTTTAATTTTTCTTCGAAACAATTATATTTTTTTTAATCTCATTAAAATTCTTGGTAAGAATTAAATTATTTTCATAAATAATACAATTCCTCAAAGGAATTCAACTGTTGACAATATAATTTTTATAATACTTCTCGAAAGACTTCATTCACTTTTAAAAGTATTTAGTAAACCTCCATAAAAAAATTATATTATTTTTTTTTAATTTTTGATACAATTCTTTTAAAAAATTTAATAATTTTCAATAAAATTTCAACTAAATCCCTGGGAAGAATTTTAATTTTCTGCGAAAGAAAACAATTATTTTCGAAAGTTTCAAAAATATTTTAATATAATTTTTAGAAGCTTTTATTTTAATAATTTTCATTTTTAAATTTACACTTAAAAATTTTTCATTACACTTTTTGAGAATTCAATTATTTTCAAAGTTTGCAATTAAAATTCTCCAAAATTTGATTTTCCAAAACTTTTTAAACTACTTGAAAAAAAACCAATTATTTTTAATTAAATTTTACAAAATTTCAATTATTCAAAATTTTTTTAAAAATAGGTATACTTACATTTTAAAAATTTAATTAACTTAAAATAATTATTCAAAAATAATTTTTTAAAGATTTTACACTATAAAAATCGAAATAAGTTACAATTTACATTAAAAATATAGTATTTTGTTGCTATATTTGGAAAAAATGTCGTAAAATTCTCAATTTTTGAAAATAAGTCGCTAAAAGTTGCATTTAATTAAATTTTGAAAAATTTTGAAAGTTCGTGTAATTTTCTTACACATTTTAATTCTTAAAATTTTATCAAAAAATATGAATGTAATTAAATTCATTTCAAGAATTTTATCAACATTTTTTTCAATAATTGAATTCTTCCGAGAAAATATAATTAAAATTGTATTGAAAATAATTTAATTTTTGGCAAGATTTTAATTTAAATTCTTTAAAATAATAAAATTCTTTTCAGCATTTCACTTATTTTCAATACAAATTTAATTGATTTCTTCGAAAATTTCAATTATTTTTAAAAATCTTGTAAAAATTCTCCGAGAAAATTTAATTTAATTTTAAATATAATTTTCATAAATTTCATAAATTATTTGCAGAAATAATAAATTTTTTTGCAAGAATTTAATTATTTCAATAAAATTTTATTCAAGAATTCAATTATTTTCATAAATAATAAAATTTTCGCTGGAATTCAATTATTTTAAATACAATTTTCATAAAATTCTTAGCAAAAATTCACTTATTTTTTAAAATTTTGCAAAAATTCAATTATTTGCAGAAATAATAAATTTTTTTCCCAAAAATTTAATTATTTGAATGAAATTCTATTTAAAAATTCAAGTATTTTCATAAATAATAAAATTTTCGATGGAATTCAAGTATTTTATATACAATTTTCATAAAATTCTTCTCAAAAATTCACTTATTTTTTAAGTTTGCAAAAATCCAATTATTTGCAGAAATGATAAATTTTTTCACAAGGATTTAATTATTTATACCAAAAAATTGGAAAATAATTGAATTCTTTCGAGAAATTATCATTAAAATTGTATTGAAAATAATTTAATTGGCAAGATTTTTATTAAAATTCTTTAAAATAATTTACTTATTTTAACGAATTTATTTCCATTTTCTTGAAAATAATGGAGTTTTTTAAAAATAATTTTTACTGTAAATTTTGAAAGTAATTGAATTTTACAAAGATTTTCTTTTAAGTTTTTAAAAAAATCGTGTTTATTATTAATTGTAATTAATAATTTTCCTTTTAAAGTATATTAAAGTTATTCATAAAAAATTGAATTCTTTTAAACAATTTTATTAGAGTTTTTGTAAAAAATTATATTTTTTTGAAGAAGAATTTCATAAAATTTCGTAAAAGTAATGAAATTTTTGAAAATAATTTTAATTGAAAATTTTGAAAGTATAATTGTAATTTACAAAGAATTTCATTAAAAACTTTTGAGAACAATTGAATTTTTTGAAACAATTTTATTACAATTTTTCAAGATAATAATTGAACCTGTTAGAGATTATGTACTTAATAAGTGAATTACTTAAGTTTTGAATCTGTAATCATTCAATAATTGATGTTTGTTCTTGAAAATATAAAGTTTTTTAATTTCCAAAATAATAATAATAATAATAAAAATTAAAAATTATGAAATAATAAAAAATGTTGTTTTGTAATTATTGTTTCAGTCTTCCAGTGACTTCGGCAACACTCGGAGAATTAATGGGCAGTCGATCTCATAAATATTTTGAATCGAATCTCCCATTTATTGAGATGGAGAGTTGTACAGCATCGAAACAGGAGCACATTGTGGCGGTTAATTTAAGAGAATTATCAATGTTTCTATTGAAACATGGCACACAGTCGTCGACGAAGAATTTTCAAGGCAGTTGCACACCATTGCACGTTCATGCAATGTCTTCAAAACATGTTAGCGCTCAATTGGAAACTTCACGCCTTTTATGTCAAATGTTGTGCAAAACTGCAAATGTTGATTCAAGATTAGAACAAGAACGTGGCTTTTCACTTGTGTAAGATTATCCCTTACTCATTTAAAATTCTAATTCATAATAATTCTCGAGATGATTTATTTCGAAAAAAAAAGATATCAAATTTCTTCAATATTCTCCAAAGTATTTTTCTCTTATTTTAATCGAGATTTAAATTAAAAAATTTTTTCGGTAAATCAAAAAACTATACTCAAAAATTATAATCGAATTCTTTGCAACAATTCAATTATTTTCATAAATAATAAAATTCATCGCAGGAATTCAATTATTTTTAATACAATTTTACAGGAATTGCTCGAAAAATGTAATTATTCTTAAAAATTTAATTTTAGTTCCTCGAAAAATCAATTATTTAAAAACATGTTTTTTTAAAATTCTTTGGAAGAATTCAATTAATATACAAAAATATTACAATTTTTCACATGAATTCAATTGTTTTTAAATATTTTAATAAAATTCTCAGGAGTTCAATTATTTTTAATACAATTTAAATAAACTTGAAAGAAATTGAATTCATAGAATTAAATTACAGTAGAACCTCGGTTATCCGAGCCTCGATTATCCGAGATTCCGGATTATCCGAGGCACAAAACATGCTCGGATAATGCGGAATAACTCGGATAAAACGGATCGAGCGACTAAATTTGGAAAATAAATTTTACAAAACCACTATTTGTGATCATTGCATTTAAAATTTCGTCCATTTTTGTCATTTAATATTATTCTAACACTTTAAACACATGAAAAATAATTTAAAATTTTGAAATTTTCATTGGTTCCGTGTTATCCGAGTTTTCGATTATCCGAGGTACCTCTTCCCCACATTACCTCGGATAATCGAGGTTCTACTGTACTTTAAAAATTGTAATTAAATTTATTAAAGAAACTCCATTATTTAAAAAGAAATTCAAAGAAATTCTTCGAAAGAATTCAATTATGTCGATAAATAACTAAATTATTTCCGAAAATTCAATTATTTTGAAGCATTTAAATATAATTCTTTGCAAAATTCAATTATTTTTATAAATAACAATATTCATCAGAAGAAATATTCAATTATTTTTTAAAGTAATAAATTTCTTCTTGGAAATTTAATTGTTTTAAAAAATTCTATTAAAATCGTTCGCAAGAATTCAATTATTTTTATATACATATAATAAAATGCTTTTTAGGAATTCAATTATTTTCAAAAGAATTTAATAAAATATCACACAGACATTCAATTATTGTCAAAAATTTTAATAGAATTCTTTGCAAAATTTAATTATTTTGAAAAATTTTTCGCAACTCAATGATTTTTAATATCTACTATTTTCTTAAAATTTCTGAACAGAATTCAATTATTTAAAAAATTTTTTGTAAAAACCTTCGTAAGAATTCAATTATTTTTATGAATAATACAAATTTCTCAGGAATTCAATTATTTAAATTAGAATTTGCATAAAATAAGTCAAAAGAAGTCAATTATTTAAAACGTTTTATAAATTTGCAGGAATTGAATTTATTAGCAGGATAAGAAAGAAGTAAAATATTTTTGATGAAAATTAGAAAAAAGTCAGGAAAATAAGAAGTATGAAATGGAATTTTTGCCAATTTTGTGAAGTGTCTAAAACGAGTTTTTTTGGTCGTCAAGTTTAATTTTTCGATAGCTTCCTACTTTTTTACTACTTTTTTTAGTTTGAAAGCTACTTTTTGCTACTTTTTAAAAATTAATTATTGAGTGTAAATTCTATTATATTAATATTAATATTTATATTTATATATGGTATATTTATATTTTAGTCTAAAATGACAATTTTCTTTTTCTCTCTAATTCTATATGTGAAAGAAGAAACTGATGAAAGTTTATTTTTATTACAGAGATAAATTAGACGAAGCAAGACGATGGTGGCTTTTTACGTTACTGGAACGTTATAAATATGCAACTGAAAGTATTGCGTTTCCTGTACCTCAAGGATTCACTTCATTCTTCACTTATTTGGGATATAGAACATTGAAATATTCAATGTTTCTGCAATACGTGAAACATTCCGCTTTTGAATTACAAGTAGACGTGGCGAAAATCATTATGGCTGGTAAGAATTTTGAAGAAATTTTATTCATATTAATAAGATTATGCTAATTGATGAAAATTTTATTTTCATCTTCCATAGGTTTGCAGGATTACCAAAAAAATTTAATTTTGTTTTTTCTCGACTTTCCTCTGATTTTCAGACAAAATTTTGCCTTTTTCCCTGATCCCTATAAAAAGAAATTCTAGAGAAATTATAAAAATAGAAAACATTTAGAAGTAAAAAGATTTAATACCTTCAGGGTGCCTAGATATCTTAAAAACAAAATAAGAAACTGTGGAGAAATTCCCTGAATTATTTTCAAAAAATTACAATAAAATTCAATTTTACTTTTAATAAAATTATAGAAAATTTAAATTACTTTAAAAATATTCAATTAGTACGTAATTTTGAAAGTTCAATTTTAAACTTTAAAAATAGAACTGAAATATTTTCAAAAATAATTTTAACGATTTTTAAAAATTTTAAATTTGTTTCAAATTCATATTTAATAATTGTAATACTATTTTTTCAGTTTTTCCAAATTTTAAATAAGAACTCTTTAAAAATTCAGGTATTAAATTCAATTATTTTCAGAATATTTTAACAAAAATTCTTTGAAAATTTAATTATTTTCCTGAATTTCCATATATTTTAACGAATTTAATTATTTAAAAAAATTTAAATAAGAATTCTGAGAAAATCTGATTCTTCACAAAAATGTATTATAATTTTTAAAAAATCAATTAGTTTTCAAATTTTTAACTAATATTTGTGGACAGTTCAATTATTTTCTGTGCTTTTAGTGTATAATTATTTAAAACATTCAATTATTTTGAGAATTTTGATCTAAAATTCTTCGAAAATTCAATTATTTTCAGAAATTTTATTATTATTTTTAAAGATATTTGCATTTTATCAAGAAATTTTATTGAAATTAAATTGAAAATAATTGAATTATTCCGAAGAATTTTATCATTTATAAAAATAATTCAATTCTTGCATCGATGTTTATTAAATTTTTTTAAAAATAATTAAATACATTCGAGGAATATAGTTGAAATTTTGTTGAAAATAATTGCATTTTTCAAAAGAATTGTATTTATGGAGTTTTACTACATTTTTTTAAAAAATTAAATTATTCCCAGAAATGTTATTATAAAATTGTTAATTAACAACAGTTGAATTCCTTTCAAGAATTTTATTATGTATGAAAATAATATAATTGTTTCGAAGAAATTTCAAATTCTTCGAAAATTTGTGGATTATTTAATTGTTTATGTTGCTTTTGTATAGTTATTTAAAACATTCAATTATTCAATATTTTCCGAAATTTTATTACTATTTTTAAAAGTATTTGATTGCTTTTAAGATTTAAATGTTTCACAAAATTTCAATAAATTAATGCCAATTCTTTAATAAAATTTATTTCAAAATTTAAATGAAATTCAAAAATTTTTAAACAATAGAATTAAAATTTCTTAGAAACCTAATTTCTTCAGAATTATAAATAAAATTCTTTAAAAGTAAAATAATTTTTAGAATAAATATTTAATTATTATTAATTTCTTCAAAGCAATTGTAATTTTCGAAGAATTTGAGTTTAAAACCTTCTGAAATTTAATTATTTCTGAAAATTTGCAATTATTTTTAACTATAAAATCTTTTTTAAATTAATTAAAATTAGTAACTTTTTTTTACTGATATTCTGGAATTTAATTATTTGAAGTTAAGTTTATTATATATTATTATTAGCCTAATTTATTGTTTATTAAAAATAGAAAGAAAATAAGTGAAAGAAATACTGGAGAAAATTGCAAAAAATCTGAAAATAAGAAAATTGTGAAGAAAGAATGAAGATATCAAAAAGAATAAAGAAAATGAAATAAAAATATATTAATGATTAGTGAAGAAAGTGATTAAAGTAAAAAATAATTATTTCAGATGTGAGTGACACGAAGGAAAATATTCCACGAAAATTGCAACTATTATCATTGCTGCCAAGATCTCGAGCAAAACGTTTATTAAATCAGTGGCTGCATCCAATTAGTCTCATGTTAAGAGCAAGGGAACACGCGACAAATATTTTGTCTGGTGAAATTTGTCCAAATCGAAGTAGGCAACAACAACATCGACATCCTCACAGTGGTATTTATTTATTTATAAAACTACTTTTCTTTCAATTCACAATTAAAAATTTAAAAAATCTAATTAACTACTTCTTTTAGGAGTTTCCGCTTTTCCTTCTGCTAATCGATTATCTCCTTTGGACACTTTTCTAGATTTACTTACGGCGAAAGGTACTTTCATTATATTCTCAAAAACTCAATTTTTATGACTTGAAATATTTTTTTTGCATTTTCAAAATTTTAATTTTTACGAATTAAAAACATTTTTTTTTTATATTTTCAAGAAAAAACATCAATTCTTATAAATTGTAAAATTCTTGTCAAGAATTAAATTTTTTTTTAAAAATAAAAAATTTTTAATAACATTCCACGCTAGAATTCAATTATTTTATTTCAATTCAGCTTTTTATTCATAACTGGACTCTTAACAAGAGTTTTATTTAATTTTTTGAAAATAATTGAATTTTTACGAAGAATTTTATTAACTATGAAAATAATTGAATTCTTGAGCCGAATTTTATTAAAATATTTGGAAATAATTGAATTTTACTGAAGAATTTTATTATTAAAGAAAATAATTGAAATTTAGCGAAAAATATTATTATTTAAGAAAATAATTGAATTCTTGAGGCGAATTTTATTAAAATTTTTGAAAATAATTGAATTTTACTTAAGAATTTTATTATTTATGAAAATAATTGAATTTTACTTAAGAATTTTATTATTTAAGAAAATAATTGAAATTTAGCGAAGAATTTTATTATTTGTGAAAATAATTGAATTCTTGCGGCGAATTTTGTTAAAATTTTTGAAAATAATTAAATTTTTCTGAAGAATTTTATTATTTAAGAAAATAATTGAATTCTTGCGGCGAATTTTATTAAAATTTTTGTAAATAATTGAATTTTTCTGAAGAATTTTATCATTTATGATAATAATTGAAATTTTACTGAAGATTTTTATCATTTATGATAATAATTGAAATTTTACAGAAGAATTTTATAATTTATGATAAACACGATTATTTTAAAAACTTGAAAGAAAATCTCCTTAAAATTCAATTATTTTTAAAATTTTCAAGAAAATTGAAATAAATTCTTCAAAACAATTTAATTATTTTAAAGAATTTTAATAAAAATCTTGCCAATAATTAAATTCTTTTCTATATATACAATTTTAATTACATTTTCTGGAAAGAATTGAATTATTAAAAATAATTTTGATGAAATTCTTGAAATGAATTCTGGAGAAATTTATTGAATTCTTTTCAGCAATAATAGTGATAAAAAGTATTAAAAACCAAATTATTTTTCAGCAAGCCTCACGGAATTAGATTTTGGTTTATTGAACGAAGCAACTGTGACATCAATCGAAGATTTCATCTGATCTCATGGAATCTAAGTTTTATTTTCTTTTTTATTTGCATTTAACGTTTCCTAAAAAAAAAGGAAAAATTTCTTGATCTCAAAAGGTAAGAGTCTATTTCAATTTTCTCATTAACTGTGATTCGCAGTTATTTTCGTTTGTAGTGTAAAGAAAATCATTCAACGTTCTAAAGTACAATTCGTTATTTTTTTAAATGAATCTAATTTATTAATCTTATCTAATCCAATTGAGATCAATTTGTAGTTTGGCCTTCAAATTAATTTTGATTATTATTTTTTTTATTTTCAATTTTTATACATTTTTTTCATCAAAAAAATAATTTCTAATTCGAAATGAAAATAATCGAAATGAAAAGTTATTTATAATATGTAAAAGTTAGAAAAAAATTTTACTGATTGTTGAGTATGTAATAATTTTTGTTAATATTATTTATTTTGTTAATTAATTTTTTATGATTAGTTCTCGAAATGCATCGTATCGATTTTGAAATATAAATTGAATTGTTATTGATTATTAATTTACTTTGTTATTAATATTATTAAATGGAATAAAAATTATTCCTGAGAGTTTTTAAATACAGTTTTATTATTGTACTTTTGCTGCCTAACTTCTGTCTAAACTGTTTTTCTTTTTATCTCTTTCGCATTTTTCACGAAAAATTATAACATTTTTATTATTTTTTTTACTTTTTATTTTTTTAAAGTTTGAAAACTCCCAAAAAGTAATGGAAAAAATTAAAATTTAGGATTCATAAGAAAATTCTGAATTTTGGTGCCTTTTTTGTTTGTCTCAAACTATTAATATTGTATTTTAAAAGACTTGCGTCTACAATTTTCACAAATAAATAAACTTCAAAAGGTTTCAATTTACAATTTTAGGAAACTTTAATTTTGAATGAATTTAATTAGAAATTTTAATGAACTTAGATTTTTGAAAAATTTTAATAATTTAAATTCTTCTGAAATTAGTTTAATTGAATTTTTGAGAAGTTACAAATAATTACAGAAATTCAGTTATTTTCAAAAATAAAAAATTCTTCGCAGAAATTCAATAATGTTCAAAATTTTTTAGAAAATCTCGTCAAAAATTCAATTATTTTTCTAAGTAACAAAAATCTCCGAAATTTAATTATTTTCAAAAATTGTCCTCACATCAATTATTTTCAATATCTACTATTTTAATAAAATTTTCCAAATGAATTCAAATATTTAAAAAAATTTAAGAAAATTCTATGAAAACATTTAACTACTAGCCAAACTATCCGCGCGCAAGCGCGCGGGAATGTTGTATGGGGCTGCTTATTTTAAACAATTTAAAAAATTTTAAAGAAATAATTATTATAACCTAACAAAGAGATTTAACTAACTAAAATTCAAATAATTTCACTCAATGGTCTCAATTTAAATAGAATTTACATTACTAGACTTAAACTATGGCTAGAACAATTACAATTAGTATCTGGGTCAACTTTTGCATTGCTTATTTTATAAAGCCTTTTTAAATTAAATACTTTTTAAAGAAATAATAATTATTACACACTGAAAAAAGTTTTACTTGAAATAGCGATAAGTTTCTCTAGAATAACGAAAGTATTAATTGAAGCACTAAATAATTTCGCTACTAAAGTGAAATCTGTAGTTCATCCAGCTAAATATTTTTTGCCGTGCATAACGAAAAAAGAATTAAATTAACATCAGAATTTCTACATTAAAAAAAAACGAATTCAAATAGAAATTAATCATTTTACAACTTAACCAAATTCACCCCAGAAATCACTGAATTCGATAATTTAGAAGAAAGTCAGACAAAAGCAGGGTTCCTACAGAATCTGGAAATCATGGAAATCATGGAAATGGTATGGAATTTTTAAAAGGCTTCTGGAAATCATGGAAAAGGCCTGTAATTTTTAAAAAATTCTAAATTTTTTCAGTTTTCCATTTTTTCTCTTGAATAAAAATTCAAATAATAATAAAGCTAAATGGTATAAAAGAGAAAACAAATGTTGAATTTTAAGAAATTCAATTTTTCGGATTTTTGATAATTTTTAATAATTTTTTATTTTTTTCCAAAGAGTCGAGACAATTTAATAAGTAAAGTATTTTCCAAAAGCACAAAAATAATGAAGCTAAATCCCATAAAAGAGAAGAAAAAATGTTGAATTTTAAGAAAATCGGATTTTTGAATTTTTTCGAATTTTTGATAATTTTAGATTTTTTACCAAAGAGTCGAGACAATTTAATAAGTAAAGTATTTTCCAAAAGCACAAAAATAATGAAGCTAAATCCCGTAAAAGAGAAGAAAAAATGTTGAATTTTAAGAAAATCGGATTTTTGAATTTTTGATAATTTTCGATAATTTTAGATTTGTTACCAAAGAGTCGAGACAATTTAATAAGTAAAGTATTTTCCAAAAGCACAAAAATAATGAAGCTAAATCCCATAAAAAAGAAGAAAAAATGTTAAATTTTAAGAAAAACGGATTTTTGAAATTTTTCGAATTTTTGATAATTTTAGATTTTTTACCAAAGAGTCGAGACTATTAAATATATAAAGTATTTTCCAAAAGCACAAAAATAATGAAGCTAAATCCCATAAAAAAGAAGAAAAAATGTTGAATTTTAAGAAAAACGGATTTTTGAAATTTTTCGAATTTTTAATAATTTTAGATTTTTTACCAAAGAGTCGAGACAATTTAATAAGTAAAGTATTTTCCAAAAGCACAAAAATAATGAAGCTAAATCCTGTAAAAGAGAAGAAAAAATGTTGAAGTCGAGACAATTTAATAAGTAAAGTATTTTCCACATTAAAAAGTTTGACATTAAAAAATATATAAAAAATGCCAATACTTAACCCACAAAATTAAATTTTCAAAACAAACAAATGAATGCAGATAATTTGCTGAAACTTACGATTATTATAATGTATGTATATGTATATATGTATATTTCTATTTTCTATCAAAACGTATAAAAAACAAAAGAATAACTATAACTAACTTCAAGTGTGGACAGAGATCCGGAAATCTGGAATCACGACGATTATTATATATAATTTTCATAAATAATAAAAATTTCACAGGAATTCAATTATTTGCATGTTGAAAAATGTAATTATTCTTAAAATTTTTATTAAAATTCGTCAAAGGAATTCAATCATGTTTAAAAATTTGTTGATAAAATTCTTTATGAGAATTCAATTTTAAGAAACATTCATTTATTCAATAAATTATTTATTTTTGTATTTAAATCATTCCGTTTTCGTAGAATTTTCTAATAAAAATTGATTTAGAAATGAATTTCAATTAAAATTTGAAATAATATTTGAATTTTGAAAAGGTGTCAAATTTAAATTTTTGAAAATTATGAATTTTTCATTCTTTTAAATATTTATTTTATTTTAATATTTATATATTTTTTTATATTATTTTTAATATTTATTTTATGTAATAAATAAATATTTATTTAAAAAAGAAGTTGTTGATGTTTACGAATAATTTTACTTTTGAAGAAATTTCTAAATAAATGTAAATAGAACATTTTTTTCAGTATCTAACATTTTTTAGAATGAATCAAAATAATTTTTAGGATCAGGGAAAAAGTCAAAATTTTGTCTGGAAATCAGGGAAAAGCACAAAACTAAATTTTTGTGGCAACCCTGTATTTAATTATAAATTAAAATGAATATTTCATCATATCTCCAAAGTATTTTGAACGAACGGAGAATGCGTTTATTTTGACCATCTGTATTTTATAAACAAATAAATTAATGTATAATAAAAATAATAAAAATAAATTAAAAAAGCAATTTTTTTCAAATGTGATAGTGAAAAGAAAATTTGCAATTGCGTTAAGATTTTAAACAGAAAATAAATATCTTATTAATTTTTAATATCTGGCACACTTATTTAATATTCTATTCTATTTTCAGTCTTCATCTTCTGTTTGCTTCTCGACACGCAAGTTTAGTTTGAAATTTTCCCAAGATTCTCAATTAGAAATTAAAAATTGTTTTTCTTCGTTATATCAATTAATTTTTGAAAAAGCCCTCTGACAATTTTTCAAATACATTTGTTTACAATATTCAATTATACGAAATTTCAATTATTCGTTAATTCTTCAATTAAATATATTATAGAAAATAAAAACTTCAATCAATATAAAAAAATTCAATTAAACTTTTCCAAAAAAATTAATTTTAAAATTCAATTATTTCCAAAAATTTACGCTATATTGCTTTTAATATTTAATTATTGTCTAAAATTTTAACTGAAATTCATCTTTAGAATTCAATTATTTAAATACAAAAATAAATAATTTCTTGAATAATTGAATGTTTTTTTAAAATTCAATTCTCATAAAGAATTTTATCAACAAATTTTTAAATAATTGAATTCTTTTGAGGAATTTTTATAAAATTTCTAAGAATAATTACATTTTTCGAGAAATTTGTTTAAAATTGTGTTAAAAATAATTGAAATTCTGCTATGAATTTAATTATTTATGAAAATAATTGAATTTTTAAAAAGAATTTTATTATTTTTGAACATAAATAAATTTCTGCGAAGAATTTTATTACTCTTGCAAAATAATTGAATTTCTGCAATAATTTGTAATTTTTCCAAAATAAATTTTTTTTCATATTTTTAACTAAAATTCTTCTATAAATCCATTATTTTTAATAATTTTACAAAATGTTCTTTGAGAATTTTCAAATTCATTTGTTTACAATTAAATTTTCCAAAATTTCAATTATCCGATTCAATTAAATTTTAATAAGAAACCTTTTCAAAATTCAATTATTTCTAAAAATTCACGCTATGTTTTTAAAATTCAATTATTATCTAAAATTTTAAGTGAAATCTATTTTTCAAACAATTTTTATTAAAAATAAATTTTATTATTTATTTATTTATTTTATTATTATTTTTTTATTATTTATAATAATTTTTATTATAGAATTCAATTATTTAAATAAAAAAGTATAAAATTATACTTTTCGAGGAATTTCATTAAAATTTTATTTAAAATAATTGAAATTTAACATTGAGTTTTATTATTTACGAAAATAATTGAATGTCTAAAAAGAATTTTATTATTTACGAAAATAATTGAATCCCTGTCAAAATTTTATTATTTATGAAAATAATTGAATTCTTGCGGCCAATTTTATTAAAATTTTTGTAAATAATTGAATTCCTGTGAAATTTTTATTTTTTTATGAAAATAATTAAATGTTTATTTATATTAATATTTTTTAAAATAATTGAATTCTTTGAGAAAATTTCATTTAAATAGTAGATATTGGAAATCATTGAATTGAGAAAATTTTTTGAAAATAATTGAAATTTTGACAAGAATTTTATTAAAATTTTTGAAAATAATTGAATTTCGGAGAAGAATTTTTTTTTCTAAAGATAATTGAAATTTTCACGAGAATTTAAAAAAAATTTTTTGAACATAATTGAATTTCTGCGAAGAATTTTTTTATTTTTGAAATTAACTGAATTTCTGTAATTAGCTAATTAATTAAATTTACATTGAGAAATGTAACTATAATGTTAGAAGAATTTGAATTATTAAAATTTTTCATAAATCCAAGTTCATTAAAATTTCTAAATAAAATCATTCAAAATTGAAATTTCCAAAATTTTAAATTGAAACCTTTTTGAAGTTTATTTATTTGTGAAAATTGTAGACGCAAGTCTTTTAAAATGCAATTAATAGCTTGAGGCAAACAAAAAAGGCACAAAAAATTAAGAATTTTCTTATGAATTCTAAAATTTAATTTTTTCCAGTACTTTTTGTGAGTTTAGGAATCGTAGAATAGAATAGATTATAGAATAAATAGAATTCTATTGAAACGTCCAAGTCGAATTTTCAATCGACCGAAATAGCAAATATGGTCGAAGAAAATAAGAATCGAAAGAAATACTTCTCGGCATAAAAAATACTACTTTGGAAATTATAAAATATTCAAAACTAAAAGAATAAAATAAAATTTGGAAGAAAGAAAAATTCTAAAGATTTTAACCATATTTTAAAAAATGATTTCTATGGGACATTCTCCATGCACTCCGGTCTCCGGATGAACCTTAGTTTGATATTGTGTGGGGATATTGACATTCCATTTTTCCCCCTCCTGTGTTCTCTCCCCATACGAATGCGTAGCGAGACGCGAGTATCAGACCAGTCTCGTCTCTTCTATATTCCTTTCACTCACTCGTCACATTCACAATTTCACATTGTACTTCCGAGAGTTTCAGTGTTGAGTAATATAATTATCGCTTGTACAATTAATTATAAAACAAATTGTTACAATCAAACGTTTTACTGTTGAAAAAGGGAAATTTCCATTCTTTGTGCATCAATCGATTATTGAATATCACGCCGAGTCATTCAACAAGTTCAACTATTACATATTCATAAAAAATTTTTTTTAATCTCTTCCACCTGTAATAGTTTTGAGAGAAGAAATTAGAAAAAAATGGAGCTCATAAGACCGGACAATCCGTCAAAGTGCACGTGGAAGGCAAATTCTACGGATAGTCCTCATACAAATCGTAGCAAGTGAGTCAAATATTATCATTTTTTCTATTTTTATTTATTTTAAAGAGAAAATCACATTTGAATTTTTTTCCTTTTTCTTATTTACAATTATTTTTCCTATTCTTTAAATTTACCTTATTTACAAAAAAATTATCACTTTATTTAAATATATTCTTTTTTTTCAAAGTAATTTTCAGTTTTTCAGTCTCAAAATGACTATAATTGCATTATTTGATATTTTGTATTGTTTACGTTTCTTTAAGGAAAAGCTCTTGCAATATTTTTAGAAAACAATGTTTTTATATTATGAAAATAAATTATTTTATTCATTTTTTATATAAAGGATAAATTTTTTACTTCGATTTTATTCATTTTGAAATAAATAAAAAAATTAATAGAATTTAATTCCAATAAATTTTTAATTTATTTCAAAACTAATGAAAATAATTTTAAATATAAATTTTTATGTTCAAAATATAATATTCAGGGTTGACACAAGTCGCAGGAAATTCAGGGAAAAGTCAGGGAATTTTTATTAAAACTACTGGAAAAAATTAAATTTTTAGAATTTATAAGAACATTATGAATTTTAGTGTTTTTTGTTTAATAAAATTCCTGGCAAAATTTCAAAAATTTTCCTCATTTCAATTATTTTTAATATCTATTTAATAAAATTTTACAAAAGAATTCTATATTTTAAACAAAATTTTAATAAAAATTTCACTAATTTTTTAATTTTTTAATTAAGTTTCTCCAAAAAATTCAAATATATTCAGAGAATTGAAAAAAATTTTAAATAGTTCTGAGAAATTCAATTACTTATTTCGAAAAATTTAAACAACATTCTTTTAAAAATTCTATTATTTAAAAAAAATTTTGACAAAATTCTTTACAAGATTTAGTTAATAAACTTGCAATTTTAATCAAATTTTCCTATACAATTCAATTATTTTCAATACAATTCTTCTTGAGAATTCAATTATTTTCATAAATAAATTTTTTATGGGAATTCAATTATTTAAAAAAAATTTGAATAAAATTCTTCCCAAGAATTCAATTCTTTTAAAAAATAAACATTTTCACAGGAATTCAATTGTTTAAAAAAGAATTTTTTTTTAATTCTTCGTCAGATTTGAATTATTTTCAATTTCTTAATGAAATTTTTCGATAAAATTAATTATTATTTTTAAAATTTTTTTCTGAAATTCTGAAAAATTCAATTATTTAAAAAAAATTTGAATAAAATTCTTCACAAGAAATTAATTATTTTCAGGAATAATAATATTTTTCTCCGGAATTCAATTATCATTGGAAATAAAATTCTTTACAGGAATTCAATTCTTAAAAAAATTTTTTTTTAATAAAATTCGTTACAAGAATTTAATTATTTTTAAAATAACAAAACTTATCGCAGAATTTAAATTATTTTTTCCTACAATATTTTAAATATAGGTAATGATAGAAAATTGCATTTATTTTTAAATTTTTTTTTAAATTCACCGAAAGAATTCAATTATTTTTTTAAATTTTGATAAAATTCTGCATAAAAATTCAATTTTAAAAAATATTCAATTCTTAAATAAATTATTTATTTTTGTGTGTAAATAATTGAATTCTCGAAAAATTTTCTAATAAAAATTTATTAAAAAAATGATTTTCAGGTAAAATTTTTAAAATGTATATCTGTTTATAGCTTTTTTTCAAAGTTGGTCGTTATTTTTTATGAAAAAACTTTATATTCTAAATGTTTCTTGAACTTATTTTTATAGCAAAAGTTAACAATAAAAATAACGAAAACAGTAAAAAAAAATACACCAAATTGCGAAATTGTAAACAAAATATTATTTATTCCCAAAGTGAAAAAAATTCTATAACGGAAATAAAAAAGTAAAGAATGAAAAATAAATATGAAATATGCATCTAAATGATAAATAGTAAGAAAATAAATATGTTGAAAATATTTCGAAAAAGGCCAATTTACTATTTTTATTGTATTTTTCAGAAATTTTGAAATAAATTTGATTTTAATATTTTTTATTTAACAAAATGGAATTGTAAACAAATTATAATAGAATTTTTTAATAGATTTTTTTTTTAAATATTTGTGGAAAAATTGCAAATAACAAAATCAATAATACAAAAATATAGAAGAGAAATAAATATATAGAAAATGTGCAGTAAAAACAGGAAAAGAAGGACAAAATTGCAAAAAAGAATAAGGAAAATTTATTGTAAGAAAAAAAAGTAATTCTACAAATATAATAAACAACAATAATTAAAATAAACATGTAAATAAATATTAGCAGTATAAAAAATAATCACAATAGAAAATATAATAACAAGAAGAAATAATTAAAAGTAGAACATCATTTGTAGTATCTAGGTTCATTTAAATAATTATAAACTATAACCATTTCATTAGCTGAATGATAAAAGGATCGATTTTCTGTCCAACCAAGGTCAATTCTTGGCATTTGTTTGAAAAAAAGAAAATGATTTGAAAATGATAATAATTTTTTTTTCCACTTTTACATTGCACATATATATAAAATTTCTTTGAAACATTTTACAAAACTGTAGAAAATCAATGATTTTATGTTTATGTGCACATTGTAAAATAAATATACATACCTACATAGATATTAAAATTTAGTTCAAGATAAAAAGAATTCTTTCACACTCTTGCCTTTGTTTTGAATTTTTTTGTTAATTTTTCTTTGTTTTTAATTTTGTTATTTAATTAAATTATGAATTTTTTTAAATTAATTCAGGGAATGGAATTTTATCAAAAGTACTGGAAAAATATTCAATTTTTAGAATTTATAAAAAAATATTGTTAATTTTTTTTGTCCAATGTAACAGACTTAAAAAAAGAAATTGTATTAAATTTAATTTTAAATTCTTTCTATTTCTAACAATAATTAAACAAAATATAATTTTTATTAAATTTGTCAAAAAAATTTGAAAGAGAAAAAATTTCACATTCTTTAAAATAGTGAAAAATTAATCACTTTATAATTTTTTTTAATCCTTAAAATTTTTTTTTTATTGTTTTTTCACAAAACAAATTTGAATTAGTAAAAATTTGAACTAATTAGAAACAAAAGTGATACGAAATTTATAAAAATGAATTTTTAAATAATAAATGAAGTAAATAAAAAATCAAAAATAAATAAAATTTCTTTTCTTAGAAAATAAATTTTTAAAAAACCGTATTTTGCATTAATGTCAATTCGCTTTTTCCACAACAATTTATAAGTAACTATTTTTTTTTTAAATTTTAAATTAATATTTTTAATATAGATTGAATTTTAAAAAGTTTCAAATTGAAGATTTAAAAAAGTTGAATTGTAAAAGATTTTAATTGAAAATTCCGAATAAGTTAGTTTTTTGAAACATTTTTATTCACATTTTTTCCAACTATTAGTTATATTTGTAAACATTATAATATTTAATTGAAAAACTAAAATTATTCAAAATTTCGTGAAATTGTCTTGTAAACAAGTGGATTTTAGAAAAAATTTTTATAGTTAAATTTTCTAGAAAATAATTGAATTTTGAAAATAATTTTTAATAACTTTACAGTGTAGCAATTCTTAAAAATTATTCGATTTTAAAGGATTTGAAATTTGAATTTTTTTTTTAAATCTTCCGAAAAATAATGGAAAAATAATGGATAATAATTAAATATTTATTTCAAGAAATGTATTTAAGTTCCAAGTGATTTTACAATTAAAGATATTCCAAAAAAATGTATCATAAACATATTTTGGAGTTTCAATTATTTTTAAGAGTAAACTAAAATATTTTTAGGGTTTGGACAAAAGTCAAAGTTTAATCTGAAAATCAGGGAAAAATAAAATCAAGTTTTTTTTTTTTTGCTAATCTCAGAATGTAGTTGTTTAGTTGAATTTCTTGCTGCTAAATTTTTTTCAGTGGTAAAATGCGATATTATTTTGTCAGAAATATATCAATTCATTTCGTAATTTATTTATAAAAATTATGTAAACATATGTTCTCACAGGTGTTCGAAAGAAAAAAGTGAGAAAATAAAAAAAAAATTTACACTCAACAAGAACATTAAAATTTGCCTTATTTACATGAGAATTTGATAAAATTTTTATTTTCGATATTTTCATATTTTCAAAAATTACAAAATCGTTTAAAATTTTTAATAAATTTATTATTTATGTCTATATTAAAAAATTATTAAATTATTACCAAAAAATTATTACATATAATTTATTTCATAATTTATCTACATAAATTAACATGTAATAATTTAACTAACAAATTACTTATGTTAAATTCATATAATAGGTAATAATTACTAATTGTTTTTTTTTTTATAAAATATATTTATTATAATTAAATATATAATAATATAACTTTTATAATTTAAATGAATATATAGATATTAATTAATTACTATTTATAATTATTAAATAATTAAAGAAACATAAATACATAAGTAATTAGAGAATTAAATATACGAGTTAATAAATCATAAATAAAATTGTTTATAAAGAATTCAGAAGTGAATTTATTATACAAGTTTATTGATTAATTGCAAATGCCACTATAGTGTGTAAATACTTATAATCTATTGTATTGATTTTGTAAACAAAAATTGTCATCTGTTGCAAATTGTAAAACCTTGGAGAAATAACTGTTTCACTTCTGCCTTGGTTATTATTTGAATTTGTAAATATCTGGATCAGCACGCACAATATTTCTAAAAGATTCTTAACGGTGAATAAATTTTTAAAAACGAATTCAAAAAAAAAAAAAAAAAAAAATAGTTGAACTTCAAGTTCAAATTGAAAAGAATATTATTGGTCCTTTTTTTTCAATATTAACTATATAATTATTACTAAGTGATAAATTTGTATGAATATATAACTATTATCATTAATTTTAATTCTACCTTTTAAAAATATCACGAATATTAAGAAATAAATTACCAAAATAATAATAATAATTATTATTATTATTAAATTAAATTGTTAGAAAATATAAAAAATATTGTTATTATTATTTTGGTATAATTATAATTTCGTACAGAATATATAAATTTAATACTCGTGATATTTTTTAAAAGAAGAATTAAAAAGTAATAATCACATTTAAAGACAATTTAATTTTAAAGTAAACGAAGGATTTAGAATTAAATACTAGTGTGAGATAAAAGTTAATAGTTATCAAAAGTAATAAGTTTATTATTAATTTTATTTTTAAAATAATCCGAAATATTATTTTTAAAAGAAAAAGTAATAGATGATAAGAATATTGTTATTCTCCTTGACTGAGACAATTGAAGGTAAAGGAATTAAAAAGATTTAAAAGTTTATCAGCTTTAATAATAGTGAAAATGAGTCAAAATATTATTACTGTATTAATTTTTATTGCAATAAATGACAATAATGATAATAAAAGAATTTTTTTCTTTTTTTTTGCGTTTCGTCAACGCGCAACTTTCTTAAAATCAAATATTTTTTTAATAATAATTTAAAAAATAAAATTGTAATTACTAATAATTAATAATTTTATTTATTTAATAATAATAACAATAATATTAATTAAAAAATGTTATTACTAGAAAGAATACTCTATTTATACCTAATGTAAAAGAATTTATCAAAGTTGAAAAATTATTTTTCAGTATTCATTGATAAAAATAAAAAAGTTTGAAATTATTTATTTAAATAATAAATTATTTCAATCTATAATGATTTAAGTAAAATAAATTAACTGAATTTTAATTTATAGTTTTAAAACTAAAGAATATAATGTATATATTTTTAAATATTTAAACGAATTCTTCAAAAAATTATTAAATTTTAATAAATAAAAGATAAAAATTTCTATTACTTAAACACATTAAAATTAAATAATAGAGTTTAGACAATGTATTTAAATTTACATACGATGAGTGAATCACATATATCTAACACGTGTAAAAAGAAGACTCAAGATTTTTATTATTCCAATTATTTTTCAAGGATATTATAAGACGATCATTTATTTTTTATCCATTCTTTTTTTTACACTTTTAGAAATAAAAATTATGTTACAAGTAAAAAAACGTTTTCTTTTCTTCTCAAGTTTAGCTATTATAATATAAAAACACTTTTAGACTTTTTTTTAAACACAAAAATGCATTGAATTGACAATATATCCGGAAGAGAAATTTGCAAATTTTTGTTTATTTTACTTTAGAGTTGATTTCTTTTCATGAACTCTGCCAAAAGAAAGGCCTTGATGTAAAAATAATTTTTTTTACCATCGGAAAATGTTTTTTTTCGTTTTTTAAAAAAATTGGCTATCAATAATTATTATTATTATTATTATTATTATTATTATTATTTATAATTATTTATTATTATTTATAATTAAATAAAATTATTATCATTATTTAATTATAAATAAAAAATAATTTATTCCATTATTCGTAAAAAAAATATAATATAAATCCTAGATCTTTTTTTATAGTTTGTATTTGTTTTTGATTTCAGAGCCGCTGACAGAAAAACCACATTACCAAATATTTTAGAAGCAGTTGGTCAAACTCCAATGGTACGATTGAATAAAATTCCCAAGGAACACGGAATAAAATGCGAAATGTGTAAATATTAATTTAATTTATTATTATTATAAAAATAATAATAAAAATTAATAATCAATATAAATAGCAAAAGAAAGGAATTTTGTTATTTATATAAATTCTTAATTTTTCCACTTTTTCTTTAGCTTTCAAATTAATATTTCCCGAATTACATTTCAGAAATTATAAACTATTAATTACACTCAACAGAGTAGAAATAATATATTTTTTAATCACTTATTTTTATTAACTTTGTCAAAAATTAAAAAAAAATTCAATTATCTTAGTAAATATCAAAATTCTTTCCAGAAATTCAATTCTTTTCAAAACTTTTTTAAAAAATTCTCGTCAACATTTCGATTATAAATAGGAAAATTTTTCGCCGAAATTTAATTATATTTAGGAATTTTAATAAAATTCATTAGAAAATTCAATTATTTTCATAATAAATAAATAATCATATTCATGACAAGAATTTAATTATTTTCAAAAATTTTTCTTAATTGAATGATTTTCAATATTCTACCATTTTAATCAAATTTCCCAAAAGAATTTAATTATTCAACAAAAATTTTAATAAAATTCTACTAGAACATTCAATTATTATAAAAAAAAAAAATTTTTAATTTCACATGAATTCAATTATTTAAAATAGAATTTGCAAAAAATGTTACGAAAATTTTAAATGTTTTAAAATTTGACATTTAAATTCTTTGCAGTAATTCAATTATTTTCATATATTTTAAAATTCCTTTCAGGGATTTAATTATCTTCATAAATAATAAAATCATTCGGAGGAAGTCAATTTTATTCGTAAATAACAATATTTATCACAAGTATTCAATTATTTTCAAAAGTAATAAAATTCAATTATTTTCAAAACTTTTAATAAAATTCATGACAAAATTTCAATTAATTATTTTCAAAAATTTTTCTTAATTCATTAATTTGAATAACTATAATCATAATAAAATTTCCCAAAAGAATTCAATTATTTCAAAAAAATTTTGACAAAATTTACACGAATATTTAATTATTTTCTAAAATAATGAAAATTTCCCTGGAATTCAATTATTAAATATATAAAATTTACATAAATTTAAAATTTAATTTAAAATAAAAATTTAAGAAATAAAATTTAATATTTTAAATAAAGTTCTTTACGAGAATTCAATTTTAAGAAACATTCAATTATTCAATAAATTATCTATGTTTGCATTTAAATAATTGAATTCTCGTAGAAGTTTAAAAAAAAAAATTGATTTAAAAATTAATTTTAATTAAAGTTTTAGGTAATAATTGAATTTTTGAGAAGTAATTAACAATTGGGATTTTTGGAAATAAATTGAATTTTGTAAAGGTTTCAAATTAAAATCTTTGAAAATCTGAATTTTTTATAATTTTAATTAAAAATTCTGTGTAACTAATTTTTTTTCAAAAAGCTTAATCGGTATTTTTTAAAATTATTTCAAGTTTTTATTTTCTAATGTATATTTAATTGAAGAATTTCCGAATAATCGAATTTTCACGTAAAATTGAATTGTAAACAAATAAATTTGAAAATTCTTAAAAGAACTTTATTAAAAAATTATTAAAAATAATTGATTTAAAGAAGAATTTTATTTAAAAATTGTAGAAAATAATATTCTTATAAGTTATTGAATTTCAAAAGGTTTGAATTTAAAATTTTTGAAAGTCTTAATTCCAATGAAAAAATAATAATGACTAAATATTTATTTAAAAATAAATCAAAATAAATTATTTCAAATAATGTTACAATTAAATTTAATAAATGTAACAGAACATTTTTTTGACTACCTAATAATTTTTAGAGTGAATCAGAATATTCTTTAGGGTCAGGGAAAAAGTGAAAATTTTGTCTGGAAATGAGGGAAAAACAAAATAAAATTTTTGTGGAAATCCTGTATTAGTTATTACATTTTTTAAAATTAGAGTTGAGAGTTTACTACAAAAAAAAATTAATATAAAAAAATATATTAAACACATTAAAATTGGTAACGTAAAAATAGGTTTAGTAAAGATTCTTAAAAACGAAGATTTCAATTTTTTTTTTGTATTTTTTTCAAAATTACTAATTAATTATTTTTTATAAAACATAAATAATTAATGTAAAATGATTTGAAAAAAATGTTTTCAGTTGTGAAATGCGAGTACATGAATCCAGGTGGTTCAGTGAAAGATAGAATAGCAGTGAGAATGATTCAGGATGCTGAGGAAAAAGGTTTATTAAAACCGGGTTGCACTATAATTGAGCCAACAAGTGGAAATACAGGAATTGGTCTTGCAATGGCAGCTGCTGCAAAAGGATACAAATGTATAATCGTAATGCCACAGAAAATGTCGAATGAAAAACTTTATACGCTTCAAGCACTTGGCGCACAAGTTGTAAGAACACCAACGGAAGCTGCCTGGAATAGTCCCGAAGGTCACATTGCAGTATCGCAAAAATTACAAAGATCAATTCCCGACAGCGTTATTCTCGATCAAGTGAGTTTTCTCCTAGAATTCAAACACCTTCAATTTTTTTTTTTTTTTGCTGTTAAACTTTTTACAGAATCATAAATTAATTTAATTAATTATTAAAAGCAATTAATAACCATTAAATATAACTGATGGAAATTTCATTATTAAATTCATAACAATTTATAACTATTAAATAGTTATTAATAAAGGTTAACAATTTATTTATTTCAAAATATAAACAGAGGCTTGCAAAGAAAAGAAAATTGAAGAGAAATAAAAAGAAAAAAATCTAAGAATAATACTTTAATTAATAATATAATTAATATTTTAATAATCGTTGTATTCCGGTAATCTGTTCTTAGTTTGAAGTTAATTGCTGATTGTTTTTTAGTTTCCTAACTTCTTTAAAATTTTTCTTTTTAAATATTCTCAATTTAAAAAAAAAAAAAAAAAAAAAATTTAATTTTAAAATTAATGTATTGAAATTTGAAAATCATTGAATTTTTGCAAAGAATCTTATCAAAAAATTTAAAAAGAATAATTGAATTCCTTCGAAGAATTTTTTTATTTATGAAAATAATTAAATTCTCGCCAAGAATTTTCTTAAAATTTTTTAAAATTCTAATTAAATTCTTTTGAAGAATTTCATTTATATTTTCTTTAAATAATGGAGTTTTTTTCAAATAATTTTAATTGGCCATTTTGAAAACAAAAAAAATGAATTTTATAAAGAAGAATTTCATTAAAATTATATTGAAAACAACTTTGAAAATAATTGAATTTCTGAGGAGAATTTTATATTTATAAAAATAATTTAATTCTTGCGAAGAATTTTACTATTTTCAAAAATAATTGAATTGTTCCGAAGAATTTATTAAAATTTTAGGAAATAAATGAACTTTATGTAAATATTTGAAAATATTAATATTAAATTTAATTATTTAAAAATAATTAAATTCTTTCGAGGAATTCTATTAAAATTGTTTTGAAAAAAAAATCAAAATTTCTGCAAAGGATTTTACTATTATTATAAAATTATTTATTATTATAATTAAAATTTTAGAAAATAATTGAATTATTTTGGAGAATTTTATGAAAATATTTAAAAATAATTAAATTCTTTCAAGAAATTCAATTAAAATTGTTTAAAAAATAATTTAATTTCTGTAAAGAATTTTATTAAAATTAATTCAGTATATTCAAAATAATTGAATTCTTTCAATTTTTTTGACGAATATATTTAAAAATTGCATTGAAAGTAATTTAATTTTCTTATATAATTTTTTAAAAATATTTTGAGAACAATTGAATTATTTTTAGAGAATTTTAAATTCTTGTTGAAATTGAGTTTCATGGAAATTTTTGAAAACATTTAAATTCTTTCGTGTAATTGTATTTAAATTGTATTATAAATAATTTAATTCCTACAAAGAATTTTAGTATTTATAAAAATAATTAAATTGTTTGGAAGAATTTATTAAAATTTTAGGACATAATTGAAATATTTTGAAATATTTGAAAATATTATAATTCTTCCGAGGAATTCAATTAAAATTGTTTTGAACATAATTGAATTCGTGCAAAAAATTTTAATTTCATATTTAATTAATTAATAATTAATTTAATTAATTTAATTTTTAATTTTATTTATAGAAATAATTGAATTATTGCGAAGAATTTTACTATTTATAAAAATAATTGAATTGTTTCCAAGAATTTATTAAGATTTTAGAAAATAATTGAATTTATTCGAAATATATTAAAAATTGTTTTAAAAATTGATTTCTTCCGAGTAATTCAATTAAAATTGTTTTGCAAGTAATTGAATTCCTGCAAAGAGTTTTACTATTTATAAAAATAATTCAAGTGTTTCGAAAGATTTATTAAAATTTTAGAAAATAATTTAATTATTTTGTGAAATTTTATAACGAATTAAGGGCATTTGAACCATTATGACGTCATAGGTTCTGCAAAGCATGTGTTTTAAGGCTGTGACGTCATCATGGTTCAAATGCCCTTAAGAGAAAAATTAAATTTGTTCGTGGCATTTTATTGAAAATAATTGAAATTTTGCAAAGATTTTACTATTTAAAAAAAATAATTGAATTTTTCAGAAGGATTTATTAAAATTTTAGAAAATAATAATTATTTCGTAAAATTTAGTAAACGAATTAAGAAAAATAAAAAATTAATAATAATTATTAAAAATAATAATGATATAATATAGTTAAAAATATAAATAATCAGATTCATATTCAAATATACAAAAATAGTAATCTACTTCTAACAAAAAATTTACCATTTAATTACATAAACAAAAAAAAGTTTTTTTTTACTTAAAATAAATTACACTGAAATACAAAATAATTATTTCTTTTTATTTGCAAAATTATCAAGCTCACGGTTTGAAGAAAAAATACTGTAATTATACATTTAAATTTAAACAATTCTAACGCTAAATATTAATGAATTACGAATTCAAATTAAATGCAAATGGAAATTATAATCAATTTCAAATACTTCCTATTGAAGATGATGAAAAATCTCCGCGTTAAATTTATTAAAAAGAATTCTAGAAAACAAATACCTATATTTTTAACTTTAATAGTTCAGGAAGATTGAAATAAAATATTTTTACTTAAATTAGATTTTAAAATTGAAAAAAGAAATAAATATAAAAATATCCTGTTGACAAAGAGTTTGATTTCACAAAATATAAATTCCCTATCTATTACATGCGGTTGAACAATATTTAAATCCGGTTTTTTTTGTTCACTCTGCTTCGCATTTATTGCATAATACATTTATATTAGATTTGCTTATCAAAATTATTGTGGCTTTCAAATCTTTTTTCTTTTTCAAGATTCTATTTTTACTACTAATTCTTTTTTTTTTATTTTTAACTCGTTATTTATTTCCAAAATTTATCGGTTTCAATTCTATAATCTGCGGTATAGGTAAAAAGTTAAAAAAAAAATACGTACGTCAGAATTTTATGTAAATCTTAATAAATGTGAAAACTTTTTGAGGTCATTTTATCATCTACATGGTTGCGAAATTACACATTTATTTCCTTTTTATATTCTTAAAAGAAGTCACTTGAAAACTTTTATTTCAAAATTCACGTAAATTATTTATTTCGACGATACTTTTTTTCAACTCAAAATTGCGTTTTCTGCTTTGAAATTTTTCAATTTTTTTCAATTATTACATTAGGATTAATATTAATATTCTTGTTATAATTATTATTTTTTTATTATCATTACTATTATTATTATAAATAATCCCTATTAATAATCGTTGTATTCCGAAAGTCTGTCCACAGTTTGATTTTAGTTGTTTTTGTTTGCTTTTTTCTTAATTTTTGTTCATAAATGTTTTGAATTTCAAAATTAATAAAATTCTGGTTTTTATGTTTTAAAGATTATGCATTAATGAAATTTATTGAAAAAAATTGTTTTTAATTGAAAATGGTATTAATTTAATTTTTAAATTCAATTTAACATTCTAAAGTATAAAAATAAAGAAAAAAAATTAGAAATCATTTTATTTTCCATAATTTAAAATTAATAAGTGAATTTTTTTAAATTTAAAAGATAATATTTTTTGCTAAAAAAAGTGTTGCAATTTTTGTAATTTTGAATCTGAAATAATTTAATTCTTGCATAGAATTTTATTACAATTTTTTGAAAAAAACTTTTTAAAAAATTTAAATTCTTTAAAGGAGTTCAAAAAAATTGTACTGAAATTAATTGAATTTTTCTAATAAGAGTTTTATCAAATTTAAAAAAAAAATAGAATTCTCTCAAGGAATTTTATTAAAATTGTTTTAAATTATTGAATTTTATCAAGAAATTGTCATGCAATTGAATTGAAAATAATTGAAGTCTTTAGAGAAATTTTATTAAAAATGTATTGACAATAATGAGATTTTTGCAAAACACTTTATTATTTATGAAGATAATAAAAGAAAAAATACATATTCAATTGTTTCGAAGAAAAGTTTCATTCTTTTGAAGAATTTAATTAAAATTCTTTTTACTGAAAATAATTATTTATTGAATTCTTCTAAAGAATTTTATTAAAGTGTTTAAAAATAATTGAATTCATTCAAGGAATTTTATTAAAATTTTTTTTAATAATTTAATTTTACTAAGAAATTTTATTGAGCTTGTATTAAAATAATTATATGTCTCAGAAAAATTTTATTATTTATGAAAATATTAATTTTTTTATATTTATATTTATATCACTATAGAAGGGCAACGCCCTTTATTAAAATAATTGAATTCTTGACAAGGATTTTATTAAAATTTTAGAAAACAATATAATTGTTTCGAAGAAATTTAAAATTCTTTTGAGGAATTTAGTTGAAATTGTATTGAAAATAATTGAAATCTTATAAAGAATTTTTTCGAAATTTTTGATAATAGATAATTGATTTCTTTTTAAGCATTTTATTAAAATTTAAAAAAAAATAGTTTAATTTTTTCGAGAAATTTTATTAAAATTTCATTGCAAATAATTCTTTTAATTCTTGACACGAATTTTATTTAAAAATAGAAGTTGATATTAGAAATAGAAAATTTTGTAATTACATAATTATTAAATCATTGAAATTTAATTAAAATGAATCGTAAATCAAAAATTTTAGAAATAGAAAAATTTTTAAGTATAGTTACTAAAAATTACTGTTTTCAATTTTATCCTTTATTATTTTTAAAAAATAATATGAAAACAAATAACGTCTGTTGAGGAAAAAAAATATTTACAAAGAAATTTAGTTTGATAAATTTTTGAGTTTAATTATTTGAGAAATATTTTTCATTTTAGTACACTAATGCGGGAAATCCGTTGGCGCATTATGATAATACAGCAATGGAGATTTTTGAGCAAGCTGGAGGGAAAATAGATTATTTGGTCGCTGGAGCAGGAACTGGAGGTACTATTAGCGGTATTGGTCGTAAGTTTCGCGAATTATCGCCTAGTACAAAAATAGTTGCTGTTGACCCAGAAGGCAGTATTCTCGCTGATCCTCCAGAATTAAATAAAACTCCGGTTACATTTTATGAAGTCGAAGGAATTGGGTAAATTTTAATTTCTAATAATAAAATTCTCTATTCTTATTTTTAATTTTTATTCTACTTCTTTTTTACAACAATTTATTTATTTTATTCTTGAAAAACTATCATTAAATTATTAAAAATAATGGATTTATAGAAAAATTTTAGTTAAAAATATTTTTAAAAATTGAATTTTTGAGAAGTTACAAATGATTGCAAAAATTCTTCTTACAAAAGTTCAATTATGTTCGAAATTTTAAAAAAATTCTCGTTAAAATCACAATTATCTTTATAAATAACAAAATTCTTCTCCAAAATTCAAATATTTAAAAAAAAATTCCTCATTTCAATGATTTTCAATATCTACTATTTTAATAAATTTCCTGAAAGAATTTAATTTTCTAATAAAATTGTACTCAAACATTTACAAATTATTTTCATAAATAATAAAAATTTCATAGGAATTGAATTATTAACAAAATTTTTTATAAATTTCTTTTCAATACTTCAATTAATTTCATAAATAATAAACTTTTTTTATGAATTCAATTATTTTTATAAATAATAAATTTGTTTTAGGAATTCAATTATTTTCATAAATAAAAAAACTCATCGCAGAATTTTAATTATTTTTTGTACAATTTTAATAGAATTCCTCGAAAATGTAATTATTCTTAAAAATTTGATTAAAATTCGTCAAAAGAATTCAATTATTTAAAAATTTATTGATAAAATTCTTTATGAGAATTCTATTTTAAGAAGCATTCAATTATTAAATAAAATATTTACTTTTGTATTTAAATAATTGTATCATTTTGAAAAGGTTTCAAATTAAAATATTTGAAAATATGAATTTTCTGTACTTTTAACTGGAAATTTTGAAGAATTAATTTTTTTGAAAAAGTTTAATTTAATTTTTTTAAAAAATAATTTCAAGTTAAATGGAAGTTACATGGAAATTTTTCCAAACTTTTGGGATTTTTTTAACACAATTTCATGAGAATGTTTCTAAATTCATAGAAAGTTTTTGATAATTTTTTAGAAAAATTCCATTATCTATTTTAGTAAATTTTTCTAAATAATTAGTGGAATTTGCTTCTTAATTTTTCTTGGGAAAATTTCTAAAATTTCTTACAGTTTATTTATTTAAAGAATTTACGAATATTCGAAATCTCAATCCTGTGGAAAAATAAAAATAATTAAATATTTTTATTTAAAAAAGAAGTTATTTCGAATAATTTTGCGATTAAAAGAAATCGTAAATTTAGATTATTATATGTAATTAATTAATGATAAAATAATTTATTTCAATTAATTAAATAAATTTATTTTCAATTTGCAGATATGATTTTGTACCCACTGTTTTGGATAATAAAGTCATTGATATGTGGATAAAATCGAACGATTGCGAATCATTTATTGCTGCGCGGAGTTTAATAAAAGATGAGGGTCTTCTCGTCGGAGGAAGTAGTGGAGCAAATTTATCGTCTGCCTTGAAATTGGCGAAAAATTTACCGGAAGACAAACGTGTTGTTGTCCTATTGCCTGATGGAATTCGAAATTATATGACGAAATTCATATCCGATTATTGGATGGAAAGTCGAGGATTTTTGGTAAGAATTAGAAGAAATAATTAAGGGGAAATTCAGGTTTCTCCAATAATTTAGAGATCGGATAATAATTTAAATAAAAAAATTATTTTAAAAATGTTTAAAATATTTTTAGAAACAATTTAAAAAGGTTTAATAAAATTCTTTGAAACAATTCAATTATTTTTGAAAATTTTAATAAAATTATCGTTGAAAAATTTAAATTATTTTTATAAAAAATAAATTTTCTGGAGGAGTTTAATTATTTAAAATACAATTTTTAATTAACAAATTACTCAAAAGGATTCAATTATTTTCAATATAATTATAATTAAATTCCTCGAAAGAATTTAATTATTTTCAAAATTTTTTATAAAAAATGCTTCAAAAAGATTCAGTTATTTTAAAAATTTTTAATAAAATTCTTCGTAAGAATTGATTATTAATTCCACAAGAAATAACATTTTTCACATGAATTCAATTATTTAAAAGAAGTTTCATAAAAATCACCTCAAGAATTGGTCGAAAATTGAGTTTTGCTAATTTTACTTTCAATACAATATTGTAATTAAATTTCTCGAAGGAATCCAATTATTTTTAAAAATTTTAATGAAAAATGCTTCAAAAAAATTCATTTATTTTCAAAAATTTTAATAAATTTGTTCGAAAGAATTCAATTATTTTGATAAATAATAAAATTCTTCTCTGGAATTCAATTATTTTTGACAATTTTTAATACAATTCGTTGCAACTGTTCAATTATTTTCATAACTAATAAAACTTATCGCAGGATTTAAATTATTTTTAATAAAATTTTAATTGCATTCCTTGAAAAATGAAATTAATCTTAAAATTTTTTATTAAAATTCTTCAAAGAATTCAATTATTTAAAAAAATTTTGATATAATTTGTTTATTACAATTTAAAAATTAATTTCATTACATTTAAATTTCTTGAAAGAATTTAATCATTTTCAAAAATTTTAACGAAATTCTTCGTAATAATAATTTGGCAAAATCCAATTATTTTTAATATCAATTATTTCAATAACATTTCCCAAAAAAATTTAAAGATTAAAAAAAATTTTTTGCAAACATTTAATTATTTTCATAAATAATAAAATTTTCACAGCAATTCAATTATTTAAAACACAATTTTCATAAAAATTTTCGAAAAAATCAAATACCATTTTAAAATGATTTCTATAAAATTCATCGGAAGAATTCAATATCGAAATTCTTTGTAAAAATTTAATTTTCATAAAATTATAATAAAATTTTTCATTACAAGTTAAATAAATTAATTTCAAAAATTCAATATTTTTTAATACAATTTTAAAAAAATTTCTCGAAAATTGCAATTATTCTTAAAAATTTTAATAACATTTTTTTAAAAGAAAAATTAATCTTTTTCAAAAATTTTAATAAAATTCTTCATTAGAATTTAATTTTAAGAAATAATCAATTATTCTATCAATTACATATTTTTGTATTTAATTAATTGATTGAATTTTCGTAGAAATTTTTAATAAGAATTGATTTAAATGTGAATTTCAGTTAATATTTCAGATAGGTAATAATTGAATAATAGAAGAGTTATTTTTATTTTATTTATTGTATGAATTTTTAGAAATAATTTTGCACTTCAAGAGGTTTTTAAATTAAAGTCTTTGAAAATTTTAATTGTTGTAAATTTTATTAATTTAGTATTTCGTAACAAATTATTAAAGTATTAATTGAATAATTTAATTTAAAAATTGAAGAAAAAATTATTGAATTTTTGAATAATTTAATTTAGAAATTAAGAGAAAAAATTAGTCTTTTGAAAAATTGTAATTAAAATTTTTTGAAGAGTGATAAATTTTCGTAAAAATTTTGAAAAAATTAATTAAATTTTAATTGAAAATGTTGTCAAATTTATTTGACATGAATTTTATATTTTAAAGAATTGTTTTTTATTTTTAAAAATTATTTTTAAATCAGTTTTTTAAATAATCGTCAAATCTTATTTTTCGATATCAAATTTTTTTTGTTATTTCTTTTCAGTCTTAAATCTACTTTTTAAAAATTAATTATTGAATGCAAAACCTGTTATTGCAGCTTAAAAATGAAATTTTTTTGCAGAATCCTCCAGAGCCGGTAGAAAGCAATAAATGGTGGTGGAATCTTCCAGTATCCTCTATTCATTTTAGTAAACCAACTAGTTTATCAAAAGAATCAACTTGCGAGGACGCTATTAACATTCTTCAGGATGGAAAGTTTCATCAGCTACCAATCGTTGATCAGAAAAACGAAATCTTGGGTTTCGTTTCATTAAACGAAATTTTAAGTTCATTGATATCAGGAAAAGCAGTGAAAACAGACAACGCAGAAAAAATAATGTCCAATCAATATCGAAAAGTAGTTTTATCAACTTCTCTCGGTCGTCTTTCGAGAATGCTTGAAAAGGAACATTTCGCTGTGATTTTAGATGAACATAATGACGGAGCATTTGTTGGAATTGCAAGTCAAATAGATTTACTTGAATTTATTAATAAAGGTCAAACTAGTAATGGCGAGGTACACACAAATGGCACAAAGTGTACCATTGTAAATTCTAGTAAAAACGGTAATTAATATCCACAATTAATTACCAATTAATGTACACGCTGTGTGAACTTTGGGTGACAAAATCAGTTTAATTTTATTTACACAGTTGATTCATTTTTATTTTTTTATGAAGTTTTATTTCATTTGTTTGAATCTCAATATCGTTTCAAAAGATATGTTTTTTCAGTAAAGTTATTGCAGTAAAGTTATTGCAGGGATCACAGTTAGTCCCCTTATTTACTTAATCTTCCCTTTTTTACCTCTTTTCTCCTTTTTGATAAAAAAGGAGAATTAAAAAAAATCCTTTAATTAAAAAATCACCTAAAATCAAACATTTTCTACCCTTTTCTTTTTATTTTTAAGAAAAATTTATAAAAATTGTCAAATCAAAATAAAATTAAAGTTAAATCAAAATAGCGAAATTGAAAGTAAATGTTTTTATTAATCTTATTAATTATATAATATTAAATTATAATATAATATATTGTATTATATAAATACTATTATATTGTTAATGATATTTTAATATTATACATTTTAGTGGCAATAGTCAATTACCTACTGTGACAAATTAATTTAATAAAGACAATTTGTTAATTTTTTTAAAATTGAAATTCTTTATTTTTTTAGAAACAAATATTTTAAAACTCGTTTTATTAAAATATTCAAATAAAAGTGAATATTCATCTTGACTAAAAACTATGTGAATTTTCTGCTGTATCACGAAAGTGTGAATCAATAGTTTGTCAACTTTTAAACTTTGTCAATCACGAAGCACATTTGTTTGTTCTTACAATAAGTCAATTACTTAATGTTTTTTCAAGTATTTAACATATCATTAAATATCAACGAATTTGTACAAGATTTTTTTAAACGGATATTCATTTATGACCTATAAAAAGAAACGAATTATAGTTTTAAACTAAAATTGTAGCTTCAATTATCTTAAGATATATATTTTGTATTACCTATATTTATGTAAAACAGCAAAAAAAATTTTAATTTCAACTCAAGCAAATTACTTAACTTTGAATTTAAGATTATCTCCGGCATTTGAAAAATTGTACTTTACAATAAAAAAAATATATTTTAAAAAATCCCAGTTGTTTTATCTGAACGAGGTTTAATAAAATACGTTAGTACATCTTGCGACAAAAAGTGCTATACAGGTACTACCACTGAATCAGTCGGCGTTTATTTTCCGAGAGTAGAGAAAAACTAAAAGATCATCAAGAAAAAGAAATTTAATCCAATTTTTATGTACGATTTGCGATTAATTAAAAATTCGAATTGACCTTCAAATTTTAATCCAGGATTAATTAATTAAATTAAATTAATATGGAATTTTTAAAGCTAAACAGACCAATTCTGTGCACATGGACCCCGAATGCTTTAAGACACACCTATTCTATAAGACACACATTCTTACTCCCACATAACACAACATTTCGCAGGAAGTTCGTGAGTTTGCATTGCGAACTTCAGGCAAAAACTAAATGTCCGCCCTTTTGCGAGTTCGCAGAGCCAAGGGGTTGCAGCCACGAAACCTTTTGAATCACGACCACCAACGCTTGGGTAATTCCTTTACGTTCCCCATAGCCACCCCTACATCCGAAATCCCTTCCACAACAAAAGAACTTCGGCCAGGCTCCTGGTGGCAATAACGGTTTCTCCAAGAAAGAAGTAGCCCGTAATGTATCGAAGTTTTATTTTCCTCTCCACACTTACGGCATTTAGAATCATCATCTATCATCCCCATTTTATGCCTATGATAGCGCAAATCATCACGACCGGTCAACAGCCCTGTTATGATTTTTGCCTCTTTTTTATTAGGTTTGCGGAATTCCGCTTTCCTCTTGAGATTAATATTTGTTCCCAAGAGTATTTTGGCCTGCCTATAGACCTTAGTTGCCTGCCACACCCTTTGGTGCTCTACTGTCAGCCTCCGGTTAAATTCCAGGGCCAAGCATTTGTCAGAGACACCAACAGGAGGGACAGGCCCAATAAATTGTTCCCTAGCACCTGTTTTGGCTAGTTCATTCGCTTTATCGTTACCAATGAATCCACTGTGACCAGGAACCCAAAGAAGGGTAACGCGGTTAATTCCAGCTAATCTGTTAAGAGCCTCATGGCAATCACCAACCAGCTGTGATGTTGTTACATATCGTTTCAAGGAGAAAATTGCTGCCTTGCTATCCGAAAGGATAAAAATATTTTTATCATGACAACTTTCTAGAGCTTCAACAGCACCATAGAATATCGCTATAATTTCGGCTTGTAACACAGTAACAGTGGGCCCTAACTTATACGAGTGGCCCCCTTGAGATGTTACGTGATAGATTCCTGCACCGACTTCATTCCCGCTTTTAAATTCATCTGTATACCAGATATCACCATTAACCGAAATGGTCGCCAGTCCATTCATCCAATCCTCTCTGGTAGGTATGTTAATCTTGTACTTTTTATCAAGAAGGTACAAAGGGACAATCTTGTCCCTGATCATATTGAGAAGAGGCCTCCTCACTAGATTCTTAGGGAGACGCCATCTGCTCACTTCTCTGCAGCCCTTAGAACTGCCAAGTCTCAGGGCAGCCTTAGCCGCCGCTGCTTTAATTGTAAGGTGTAAGGGTTCCAGCCCCAGGAGAGCACCAAGGGCAGCAGTGGGCGTTGTGCACACCGCACCCGTTATGCCTCTCAGGACCATTTCCCTTACCCTTTCCAATTTTGTTTGTGATGTTTTTAATTCAACTCAACCCCACCAGACCACACAAGCATAGGTCAGCCTAGGAAGCAGAATCGCTTCATAGATATTTTGCCTGCTCTGTAAATTGAAGCTCTTTCCCACAAGTGAACGCGAGGAAAGACTTGTATCGCCTAGTATAGATAACAGCTTCTGTTTTCCCAGGGTTACCAGATAAACCCACCTTTTTAAACCATTTATCTACCTGGTTTAACCCTTTGCCGTTGATATGTTACGAAATGTCGTCTAGAGTCCTTTTTGGGGGAACAGCCAATGAGAAGAGGCGTTTATGCTTGTGTTGATAAGTTAGTTATGTGTGAGTATGTAAGTGTCTAAACTTGCAGGATCGTACCTTCTTAAAATTGGAACCATTTATATTTTACAATAAATTATATTTAATTATACTAATTGATCACTAAAAATATGATTTTTTGTGTAAAGTGCAAATGTATATTTGCAATTTATTACAATTTAAAAATGGTAAATTTGATTGTTAAAGACTTTTATCAAACATAAATATCCTATGTAAACATAACCTCAAAATCAAACTAACATCCGGCCCTGATATTGTCCACGTGATTCAACTGTCAAACTGCTTGTTTCTGAGGTGGGGAAAACTTATTTACGGCAAAGAGTTAATGCCTTTTGAGCCACCTCGAGTATTACATCAAGGTAATACTACCACGAACGGTAACAAAATATCGTCTGCGTAACCAATTGCATGAAATCCTGCTTCAGTTAGGAGTCTCAGTAGTTCGTCCAGAAACCAAAGCAGAGGTGAAAGGACACCCCCCTGTGGGCATGCAGAATAGACTGTGCCTTCCAGGACTGAGTACCCTTTTGCTGACTGGAGGTTTCTGTTTTCCAACATATGACAACTCCAAACAACAATTACTGTAGGGATATTAAAAGATATCATAGCTCTTTTAATGGACTCCGGAGTGGCCTGACTAAAAGCCCTCTTCAATGTCCATAAAGACACCTACTGCAAAACCCTGGTTTTACAGTTGCCTATCAATTAGGTCAACCGCTTTAGCCGGGGCTGTTTTCGTAGAGCATCCAGCTCTATACGCATATTGATCTTTATGTAGGGAATACTGCTTTAAGATCTCACTGCGGATATATCTATCCACTAGTCTTTCAACTAATTTTAGAATAAAAGATGTGAGGCTAATAGGACGGAAATCCTTCGGTGAGGTATACCCGTTCTTGCCCAATTTCGGTATGAATACAACTTTCGTACCTCTCCACGCTTTTGGAACATAACCCAACGTCAGACTTGCCCTAGCAAGTTTCTCACCAGTTTTTTTTCTTGAAAAAAAACTGATTTGAATATGATGCTAGAACAGAAAGCATTCCAACTATTTTGTTTTGCTTTCCTTATTTCGTTTCTGTAGTCGTCCCTCATGTTAGTAATATCAGACCAACCACTAGCCGTGCGTCTTTGCTTAGCACGCTTAGAAAGCCTCCTGGCTTTTTCCTGAGACTTTCTAGTTTCTCGTTCCACCAGCATGCATCTTTTCCCAAAAACTCTTTCGTCGGTTTGCAGCTATTTTCATAGGCTGCCTTTATGGCCTTTGTAAAGTTACTAGCCACTTCGTCCAGGGTTTGATGATCTCTAATCTTACCTGGTAAACCAGAAAGTGTTTCTCTGAGTTCTCAGTTATACTTAGCCCAGTCCATCTTTCTGGGATTACAAATCCACTTGGCTTCCAAACGAACCGCAGATTCCACCTCCAAGACAATCTGTGAATGATCAGAAACCGAAGGTTCATTAGACACTCTCCATTTTTTTACCTTATTTCCAATACTTTTAGAGCAGAGAGTAATATCAATCACTTCTTGCCTAACAGCATTGATAAAAGTCGGGGTCGAACCCGTGTTAAGAATATCCAAATTCGTTCCGATTATATATTCAAGTAACTCCTGTCCTCTCTGGTTGTCCTTTGTGCTTCCCCACACCGTATGTTGTGAGTTTGCATCACAGCCAAGCAGCAGAGGAAGTCCTTTTTCCATACAATATTCTACCAACCTGCGAATTTTAATTGGCGGATTATTCTTATTATCATATGGAAAATATGCCGATCCAATGACCGTCTTACCTATGGGGAATTCTTTCTCAACTTTACCACCACGCTGCCCATCTTTAGTTTGAACAAAAATCATTTAAATACCACTTAAAATTTGCAGAAAAATGTCAATCTTTGAATGGCGAGGGGCAAAATTGACCGTTTAAATGGTTCACTCTGAATCTGTCAATAAACGGAAAAAAGTCAAGAAAATAATTTTTAATCTAAATATAATGATTGTTTATGCAACACAGCACTGTAATACGCACTTTACGCCACCAGTTTTGCAGGTTTTAAGTTACTTATTATAGCCCGGTGCGAATAATGCTGGAGGGGAATACACTTTATTTCGTGTTAGTTACATTATAGACCCAATAACCGGGTTATAATGTTACTATTTCTGTACAAAAGTAGGATGTAATGTAACTAGATGCTGTCAGAGGCACAGTTCCCAGAGGCTCTCACCAAATGCATGCGCATGCTCATTCGCGCTTGGTGAGGGTCCCTGGCAACCAACTCTACTGTCAATTAACCTAACCTAAGATTCGCGATCGCTCGTGTGAAAAATTCTGTTTTTGTTCTTTAATGAAATTATTTTTATTAATACGTCGAAGCACACGACTAGGTTTCGGGGGGCTTCGCCCCCGACGCGTCCGGTGGCTTGGGGTATTATTAAATGGGGTTCTTTGAAATGTCAAAAATTATTATTATTCTTTTAAGTTGGTTTTTTGTAATCGGGGGGCTTCGCCCCCCGAACCCCCTGACTGGGGCTCCGCCCCTGCACCCCATCGGGGGAGACCCCCCGAACCCCCCCCTACGCGACAAGACAGGGGAGTACGTTTGAATGTATATCGGTACACTAATAGTATGTCACATATTATCTCGTTTTTGTCTTCAGGTGTTTGTAAATAAAAAAGTGTTTTCGATCTAAGCTTGTTTTATTACAGTCTGTGTTGCATAAACAGTCGTATGCACCTCGGATCGTATTCATCTTCATGACACTCGCCCGATCATAAAGATGAACTTACGATCCTTGGTGCATAATGTACTATTAATTGTCCATATTCATTTTGTATGATCACTTTAGAGTCCCCTCTTCATGTCTACATTGTCATATGAGGCTAAATTAAATTTGAGGTTATAATATGTCCGTCAAAAGTGACTTAAATTAACTAATTGTGATGTGTTTTCTGTGCAGCATTATTTTCAATAGCGAATGAACTTTCAAGGGTTTCTGGTCTGACCCATTACTTATACCAGGGAGTATAGACTTAAGGAGACCAATGTAGTGTGTATGAAATCAACCATTTTATGTCGGAAGTTCATGGTTCTGAATCTTCTCGTATAGCGCGCAACGATCGCATAGATAGCTGAAGTTTTAAAATGAACATGGATTTCTATAAGTTTACTAATTCATGTATATACTATATATTCAAATTATAAATATAAATATAATAATAATAAGATAACAATACAAAGTTTATATTACAGGGCTCGGATTGTGCGACTTTTTTGTGAAAAAATGTGCTTTTTACAGAGTTTTTTGATTCAGGAGTGTCGATCGCTTGACATAACCTCAAACTAAAAAGTGATTTTTAACAGCAAATAAAACCATAAATAAAATGATTTCACCAAATTATGAAAGATCCAGTTGTACAATTATCAGGAAAAATTAGGTTGGACCAAAATTTGATGTAAAATCATAATTGTTAAACATTATGTGTTTTTTCTTTAAGGGTCAGTAACCAATTTTGATAAATAATAGCTCATTCTACTCTTTGAAACATTCTCTACATTTCCACTCGTTGAATTTTGTTTAAAATATTTTGTTCAAAAGTTATTTAAAAAAATTTTTTTTATTTTATTTGCTTAACTATTGAACAAAATATTTTAAACAAAATTTAACAAATGTAATTGTAAAGAATGTTTTAAAGAACAGAATGAGCTACTATTTGTCATAATTGTTAGATCACTTTTTAGTTTGAGGTTATGTTAATAACCTCAAATTATAGTAATAATTAATTTTACTATAAAGGTCATGTTATTCAGTGGCCACGTGCCTATTAAAACTTTATTAAAATTATTGATAGAACATTAAACTCTTTTAATCAATTTTATTATAACTTTTATAAATAATTAAATTTTTTGAAGAATTTCTTTGTTTTTTTTAAATTGAATCCTTTAGTGAAGTTTTATAAAAATTGTATTAAAAATAATTGAATGTTTTCGAAGAATGTTATTATTTATGAAAATAAAATTCATTGTCATAATTTTATATTACCTATGTATTATTTGAAATTATTTTTAATTTCAAAATACAGCAAAAATAAGGTTAGGACGGTTAGGACTTAATCAAGCGACTATATATGCGATCGTTTGCCATCTACAGGATGTACACGTACTACTGATGTACTTCCGACAAAATGTTGCGCCTTTCAGTGAAGTACATGCATATAAGATTGGTCTCCTTAAGTCTATACTCCATGACTTATACAGTAAGAGTATCTAACTATGAATCACCCCTAAGCGTGAGTGCGAGTGAGCGAACATTGAACGCCGCATAAGAGTGTCTGACTGACAGTTAGAGGACTGACTGACAGTTAGGTATTCTTACTGTATAACGCTATATGTTCAAAATTCAAAATGGCGGATGTAATATGGCGGACATGAATTTTAAAAAATAATTGTATTTGGTTAAAATTTATTACTCGGGGGTTTCGTTTCAATAATATTCACCATTTGAATATGGCTGTCAACTCGTGATTGTTTTAAATGTATACAAAGTGTATCACTATTAAAACAAATAATTATTAATCAAGTGATAGTAATATTGATCGAAAATTGAGATAATTTTTTTTCCTCTAACATAAATAAGGAGAACAAAAATATTATAAT